ACCAACACGAGTGGATCCTACCAACCCAGAGGTCTATGTCTTGCCACTGTTCAGACAAGTGGGCACTAACAGCCTTACTGTTGCATGCACATGGGACCCACGGGAGGCATAGAACGCTTGTGAGGCTAACAAAGAGGTGAAGCCACTCTGACTGGGAGGAGAGATTAACTGATGGATAGATGGGTAAGATGAGGCAATAAAGGAGGGGCACACTGGTCACTTTGTCACAATCCGAATGGGAATGCTTCCATCAAAGCGTTTTGCGGATCAGGTGAACGATTCTTAATGTGGTCACAGCATTTCTTTGCTCCAACATGAAGAGGAGTTAATAGCGTTGTGTGAAGCACAGATGCCTTTTACAAAGGGGTTATGAACGCTGTCACCATAAACAAGTCAAGGAGTAATTACAGCCAGACCTTCTCTAACGGATGATTCGTCTCGAGCTCAGCCTCGTCCCTGGTCTCTTATTTTCAGACGCTCCCAGTGTCACGGCAGAGAAAGACCCCGTGTTTGTTAACCTGGGGGGAACGGCCGACCTGATATGTGTGGCAGATGCCAACCCCATCATATCTGAGATGTTCTCTTGGAAATGGCTGGTGAGTGTTTTACACACACACACACGCACACACGCACACACACACACACACACACACACACACACACACACACACACACACACACACACACACACAGCTACCCAGAAGGCCTAAATTATATTTCCTGTCTGGCTTCCTCTGTACTGTTCTGCCTGTCCTACCGTTTATCACCAGGCTTTGTAAATGCACAGATGCTCCATGATTCACTGGCCTTAACCATCCCTCCACCCTGCCCCTTTCTGCTCCACACTCAACCCAAATCCAGAAAAATAGCTTTCATTACGGCGGCGTGTCTAAAGGGCACATTCGTCAATGTGGCGTGGTCTCTGTGTCTACCGATGCTCTCTGCGGTCTCAGCCACCCTCTGGCAGTCCAGCCTGTTTCACGTGGCCACTCCTTTTTCTCCTGTCTTGGGGGCTCTCCAGCCTTTGGTATCATCCTTCTCTGTCCTCAGTCACAGTTTGCTCCAATGAACACCTTTTCCATACAGGCCTGAAGATCTAATGTCTTGCTACCTGTCTTGCTCTTACACAGTGAGACAGGTAGACAGTTGTCCCCCAAGGGGAAGACGAGTGGGGATTGAGGGATAGCGGCTGTCTTGCGCTTATGGCTTCTCACTCTGTCTTCCGCAGGGAGAGGAGGAGGTGGAAATGGGAGAGGAGACCCAGGAAGACGAATCCAGCCTCCTGACCATTCATGAGGTGACTCGGGCTCATGCTGGCCTTTACCAGTGTACAGCCAGCAACGACATAGGACTTCCAGCCAGTGCAAATGTGCAACTGGTTGTGCAGTGTAAGAGCATCCGAACACTCCCGTTTACGTCTCGAGACGTTTCTATGGCCTTACGGAGCTTTTCTAACTGAGCTTCCTGTCTTGACCAGTCAAGCCAGAGATCCAGAAAGGACCCCAGTGGAGGAAGGTTGCAAGTAGAGGGGATGGCAGTGTGACCGCTGAATTAGTATGTCAGGCAGTGGGCATTCCTCCTGTCCAGTTCTCCTGGGAAAAAAATGCAGTGCTCATGGATTTGGCAAATCCCAGGTCAGAAACAGTAGCCCTGAGCTATTTTTGTTACATATTGATGAATTCACACTACTGGATTAGCTGTTGGTCAAATGGAACCGATTATCTTTCTATTTCTTGTTATTTCAATAAGCTTTAATGTTTGTTTTTACATTCACAGTGCCTCTGCTGTCTGTCTCTCAGAAATGCTTCTGCTTTTTTATGTGTGTGTGTGTGTGTGTGTGTGTGTGTGTGTGTGTGTGTGTGTGTGTGTGTGTGTGTGTGTGTGTGTGTGTGTGTGTGTGTGTGTGTGTGTGTGTGTGTGTGTGTGTGTGTGTGTGTGTGTGTGTGTGTGTGTGTGTGTGTGTGTGTGTGTGTGTGTGTGTGTGTTGGGGGCGATGAATGTTCACGTTGCAGGTATGAGGAGAGGACGGTGAGGCAGGGCTCCTTCCACACCAGCACGCTGCGAGTGGTAAATGTGAGTGCAGCTCTGGACTACGCTGTTTTCAGCTGCACAGCTCGCAACTCACTCGGGGAAGACACGTTAGACATCCAGCTCGTCAGCACAAGTACTGTATCTGCATACATTTCCATTATTTTGCATGGGTGTGTGTTTTTGTAGGTGGCTGTGGTTCTTTCCAGAATTCAGCAGCAACCAGTTGCTGTCTTGCAAAATAATACTTGCAAAGTAAAAAATTCAGCTTCTCATACCCTCAAAAATCTTGTTTAATCTATGGGGATTTTTGGTTCATCCGTTGTTTCTTTAAGTTTGATATAATTTCTTCATTCAGCAAATACTTGATCCTTCAGTGTAGTCCTAAAACTTTGGAAAGCATACATCCTTTACTGGAATCCTATTTCCGTGTAAACATAAAAGGGATGCTGATGGGAGGTGGGTAGGTCACCCAGATGAGCACAAAGAGATTTCAGAGAGCACTCTGAAATCATTTGGTCTCTGATATTTTCTAAATCCTGCAGAATTGTTGTAGAAAATGTTTGAGCCATGAGCATGAATAAGGACAGGCCCTTGGAACATATGAGACCCTAGTGGCTGGCTACAGTACAGGTTTTGCATTCAGATTCAAACACAGGATTGGCCGTGATATACTTGATGTTTAACATCGCGTTGGCACAGGCAGCGTCTTTGTTCACATTCCGGCTGTTACACGGCACTGCCTGCAGTACTGGAGTGTTCCACTAGGTGGTGCACTAGAAATTCAGACCGGAAAAAGAGCCAGGTTTGTGTGTACAACCAAAACAAACATGGCTTCAATAAAAGTGCTGATTACTGGTTAATTTTGAGATCAAGACAGAAAAAAGACAGCAGCGGTGTCGAAGATGGCGTGAAAGAACTCTAAACCAGAGTCGGAGTCACCATGGTGAGTGTCTCACTCGTTTTGTTAGCTTCACCTGCTGGTCACGTGTATATTGCAGCGTTAGGACGCGTTGTGTTAGTTTTGGGGGAAGCGCAAAAATAACGCTTCAAATAAATACAAGTAATGCTTGGCAGCCACGTGTTCATGTCATTAAACCGCAAGCAAATCACGGCCCTCAGATTTTTAGAGTCTTGGACTCTTTTATTTAAAATATTTATGTTAAACATTTTAGGATGTCTCGCTGTGTCAAATGAAATGGTCTCAATCCAGCTTTTTTAATTCACCCAGAATTCTGTTTCTTGTTGTGTACTTTTGCACCCGTGTGGACAAATCTCCCCCACTACTTTTAAAGGAATCATAAATTATCAAAGTCACTTTTTAAGACTCACAGTGTCTGAAGATTATTCATATCACACACTTGGCAGTGAAACACCAATATTTTCCTTCAATTACTATTTGGAAGCTGTTCAGAAGTGGATTCCAACTTTTATCTGGCTTCTTCAGCTCTACGGCTGTAAGTGAGGAGGATCATCAAATCTCTACCACTCAGTAAAGCGTGGAGAGTTGTTGTTCTCGAGTCAGTCAGCCCTTTAAGTGAACTTCTTCTGCTTCCCTATCTCCCCCTTATCCTTTGGCCCGTAGCGGCGCTTCACTTCTTCCACAGATAATGCTGCAGTGCTTTACCCTCCTGGCAAGCTTAAACCTTGCACCCTCCAGCCATAGGCGTCATTTTAACCGGGGACGCCGGGGACATGTCCCCGGCAAAATTTGTGATTGGCAGCTGTGTCCCCCCCACTTTCAAAAACGCCTGCTGATGAGGATTTTTGTTTTACCAGCTCAGATCTTATACCAGGGGTCGGCAACCTGTTCCCATCAAAGAGCCATTATTACCCGTTTCCCACGGTAATTTTGGACGGACCTTAATAAGCAGTGACTTAAGTGAAGCAGGCAGGTCGCGCTAGAAAATTTAGTTTAAAAAGATGTCATAAATGTGTTCCCCCGTCCTTTTTATTTATAAAATATGAAGTAAAAACTCACAATTTAATTTTCATTCATTTGTCATTAATATGTAGTCTACACCCGTGCGTTAAGTGGACCATCTTCCAGTAAACGCAAAGCATCCAGCCCATCTCTCCAAATGCGTAAAATGTGCATCAGCCGCTAGTTAGGCGCACCGTCAGCTACATCAGCCCAGACAAGAGCAGAGCAACTAGAGAAAGAATAGAGGATAATTCTGTCTGGATGTGGATGGAGATTACATTTTACAGCAGCCTGATCATCATTTAAATACGTAAACCATCACCTGTCTTCTAGTCCATGCTATCAGCATTATTTTAATTGTTGTGTGTGTGTGTGTGTGTGTGTGTGTGTGTGTGTGTGTGTGTGTGTGTGTGTGTGTGTGTGTGTGTGTGTGTGTGTGTTTCCACTTCAAACACTGGTCTAACCAACCAGACCAGCGTGTCCAGTAACATATTAATGTTACAATTAAACAGTTACACTTCATGTAGGCTAGGAACGTTTCACCTGCGTGGCCCGACCGCTTCTGCTCCACATAAACTTTGTGCGTGATCAAATGTCTCTACGCGTCATGCGTCTCCATATTAGAGACGGGAACAAGCGCTGTTCAGCCAAAGTTTCATAATTTCATAAAAAGAACATTTTTCCAAGTAACACATCCCTCAGAGAGACCGGGTTTCCAGACTGTTTCAGTGGGAGGAAATCTTATCGCATGCGCCGTTCTGCACTGCGCTGCGAACCCCTCAGATCTTCATCCCACTGTCCACCGTGGGCGCTCCGAGCCACGCTGAACACAGTGTCCAGTATAAAGCTCTGATGTTCTGATGGGAATATTTTACCTCCGCGATGTGCGTTAACGATTAAAATGTCAGCTCATCCATGCGCATCAGTGTGCGTCGGGGTGATTCTTTCAAACCAAGCAACATCCTTGAGTTCATCTGTCAAAATAAACAGTCAAATGGAAATATCTGTAACCTGCCGTTTAACTGTTTTGCCTTCCTGTGAAGATTGTTGCAAAGAGAAACAATTAAACTTGATTAACCCCAGAGCCACCCAGAGAACCAGAGCGCATGCGGGAAGGTTCCTCCCACTGAAGCGAGCGTTTTCCAAACCCTGTCTCTCAGAGAGTCTTGTCACTTAGAAAATGTTCCCTGATTATGAAACTTTGGCTGAATAGCGCTTGTTCCTGTCTCCAATGTGGCGACACATCCAGGAGCCGTCTGAGGAGAAGCCCAGAATCTCACATCCTCTTCAGCTCAGAATGCGCCTATGATTATGCACAAGCGTGACGCGCCAACCCGGTCTCACAGTAGACTGGGTCGGAACTGTTCAGGTTTACGCAGACAATCTTTACATTTAGAATTGACATACAGATGTAAAATTAATGCAGTAAAATATAAAGCTTTTTATTTAAATATCCATTCATTATTTTACAAACAGAGAGCCGCATCAGATGGATGGAAGAGCCGCATGCGGCTCCAGAGCCGCCGACCCCTGTGCTAGCCTACTTTATTGTCCCCAGCAATTTTTAAACCCCACTCAAGTGTATGGTTATTGTCCCCAGCAATTCTGAAAACAAACTGACGCCCTTGCATCCAGCTATCGTTGGATCTGCACAGCAGCACTCGAATCAACCAGCTTTCACAATGCCCGCAGCCACCGGTGGACCCGTTTACTGTTTACCCTAAAACCCTAAACATACACGTCAATACCGGCCCTGTTTACCCCTTCATCACCTGTCGACACATGAATATTCATTATTAGCCAGACGTGGTGATAATTCATGCTTCCTTATCACTTTGTGAATTTGTGGGAGATGAGGTCCAATCAAGTCTGACCTCTGTGCCCTGAAATCACACGAGCCGAGCTGATTGTAGGAATGATTTCGTTTGGAAAGCGGTCTACAGCCTGGAACCATTCACAAGGGGAGCGGCTGCTGCTGCTCTCCTCCTTCTTTACTACACCTCTCCTTCTGCTCCCCACATCCTGCTTTTTCTGCTCTGAATGCAAATGAATCTACTTTCCTTTCACCCGCTGGACTGAAGTGGAGCTTTATGTCAAACTGAAGGTCTGAAAAGTCTCTTTTGTTTGATACTTTCAATATTTATTCCATTACAATCAGGAGGCCAACTTTCTTTGCTTAACTGTGGTTCGATAGAGTTTGTAAATCAGCCGTTGTGACTGAGAGGCATCAGCCCTTGGTTGTTTATCCCTTACAGGCTGCACAGATATTTATTTCAGGCCTTTAAAGCTTGTTTTATTTAGATGGGCTACATATTGTTGAAGGGGACAACGTTCGAGGCTCGCCAGCCTTGCATGTTTTCCTCAGATCGGTTTGCTCGTCTGCTTTTCTGATCCTGTCTAACCAGCCTTTGGATTCCTGTGCCTGGAAACAGATTTAAACAAATAAACAAATCCTTACATGAGTCTGACCGATTGTTTGTGAAAAATGTAACTTTCATTCCTTCTGACTCATGTTTTTTGAACAAAGTGTTTTTATTTCTGTTTAAACATTTGAACACGCAGAGCAATAGCATCCTACACTGGATCTACCACATAAAGGACATGAAACGGGTTTCATTGTGACACTAATTCAAAATCATACCATAAAAGCAAATCCACAGGAACACCATCAGAATAAAGCCCACATGACAACACTGAATCTCCTGATCGAGCCCTCTAAACGGTGCCTCAGCGGGTGAGAGTCCTTCCACCTGAGGTTTTTTTTTTGGGCTCATATATTTTATGGAAAGAGTGAGAAAATTTTCAGATATCACAATTTTTCAGGATTTGGCTGTAAGTGATTCACATTTTCTCTAAATATTTTAAAGTGTTCTTGATTACTCGTTCCTGAGGTGTTTTGGACTTGAGTTGCTTTTTGACTCCCTTTAGTCGAGTCTTTTTACCCGACCACCTCAGACAGCTGAAGCTACATCAGCTGAAGATAGATAGATGCTGATTTATGGGAAAGACGGGGGTTAGCGATCCATTAGCTAGCAGAGTAACACAGGAGGCTTTAGAGATACAAATAAAACAGCAGCTCAGCATTTTCCAAGGTGGTTCCAATGAAGACAACTGTTCCCTTGATTGGAACCACGTTGGATTATCATGACCTGGATGACTGAGAACCTTCACCAGCAACACAGCATTTGAACTTTGTACTTTTATGCTTTTGCTTTCACCCTCAGACCGCCCAGATCCACCATCGTCATTCAGCCCAGTCAGCGTCACCCATGACTCGGTCACGCTGCAGTGGATCCCTGGTTTTAATGGTGGCTTGGAGCAGAGGTTTCGGATAAGGTACATATGCCATGAGAAGATGGACATACTTTACAGAAAATAACGTATTCAGAACTTGGCAGAGCTTGTCCTTTGACAGGTACCGTTGGGACCAGTCAGTCAGCTTCCTGTATGCAGATGTGGTCCCTCGAGATGCAGCAACCTTCACTGTTACTGGTCTACAGCCGGAAACCGCCTACAACTTCTCTGTTAATGCTCTCAATCAGATAGGAGAGAGTGGATATGCTGACAACGATGCAGTACTGACCATCACCACCAAGGGTCAGTGTGGAGTTACCCCAGCTTAGCTCGGAGCTCCGAACAGCACCCACAGTTAAGTGTTTTTCTGTCCTGCTTCCTTCCCCTCAGAGAAATCCGAGTCTGAGGAGGATCAACCAAAGAAGCACCCAGAAAGTGAGTTTATGACTGCAACAAAATCCTGTGATGGCAGCTGCAAGAAGTTTCCATTTTCTTTGGCCAATTTATTTCTGTCTGACTTTGATTCCTTTCTACCGTCTCGGTTGTGTTTGAAAGCAGGAGGAGGAGGCCTGCCAGCCTATCTGACTGTGGTGTTTACGGTTGTCTTTGGAGTCCTGCTGGTGTTAAATTCACTGGGCTGCTACTTTGGACGGAGGTGGAAAAACAGGCGTGATGAAACAAGTAACCATGATTTTCTTTTCACCTATAGATGTGGAAGTGCTCTTTGCTGTCTGTCTCTTGCAATGTTCTGGTTTCACAGCAGAACTCTGAAGAGATTACGCTGAGCAACAGCGTGATTGTCAGCCCTGCATCTCATTCGTCTGTCCTGTCTTCTCTCCTTGTTGCTCATCCTTTAAGCCCACACCTCGCTCCTCGTTCATCCCTCAAAACTGTCACTTCCATGTTGCGTCCGTATCTTTCATCTCACAGACCAGAGTGTTTTTTCCTTTTCACCCTTCCACCCTCATTCTCTCTTTTTGACTCTTTCCGTTTGTTCATCAGCCTTACCATCAAGGTCTCCCTCTCAGTCTTTCAGGGGATTGTTTTTCTTATCACCCATTCATGCTCACTCTTAGCCCTCTTTATTTTTCTGATAAAAGTCAGTGCTCATGATTGGTTGGTCCTCTCTTCTCACCACTGAGCTGTTTTTGTCTCCTGTTTCGGTTTCCCCAATCAGGGGCGGGAGAGGGCAGTGTGCTGAATGGACAGAAGAACGAAGACAGTAGGTAAGTCAACGCCTCGCAGATCAATGGAAGGAAAATAAAACATGTCCTCCTGTATGTGTTTTTATCCGTTATCCACTGATCTAATGACAGGAACAGCTCAGAGAAAAAAGAAAATGCTTTGACCAGTATCTATTTCATCTTTAACCTCGCCACAAAACCTCAAGAAGAAGCCCAAACATCATAAAAGCCTGATGTGTGCAGGAAGCACGTTTCCCCAAATACCGAATGCATTACATCGCCCATCATTCACTCTCGGGACTAATTATCGCCAGTGTTAACTTGTAGCTGACAAAATCAGATTTCTCCATGCAGGTCAAGTCAATCAACTGTGAGAAGCTCCAACAAGTACGAGAGCAGAGAGAAAATCAACACAGAAGCTCAACGCACCCTCATCATCGACTCTGGATCCGAAACGGAGAGCAACGTCTACGAGAGCTACGCAATGGTAGGAAGAGCAGAGAGGAGGAGACGGAGGGAAAAGGGCAGCTGAATTTATGCAGAGGAGCCGAGAAGGTTGACTAAACAGATGAGGAGAGGAAAAAAGGTTAGGCACAGGGCGAGTGGATGTGGCAGTGGAGGAGGCGGAGAATTCAGCCACAACAAGGAAAGTGGATAAACTAATGAAACCTTTAGCTGCGTGCAGAGACAGAACAAAGATCAATAACTGGTAATTAGCATTCAAAATACACATCGATCTTGGAGAAATTATCATTTTGTTCTTTAAAAAGGCCAATAAGGATTTAAACCCTGACATAAACTGTTTAGGGAGTTAAAAGAAACCATTGTTACTGGTAAAAGAACAAATCCATTGAAGTTCATTTCAACTCATCTTTCATTTATCTTTAAATAAATCTCCTCGTTTACCTTTAGGGGTATCTGGCTTTCATTTAAATTTGCTTTGTTATTATTCCCTCACGCTTTGAGAGGTTCTCCAACAAGATCCCTACATCATCCAGAGACATCTACAGCTCATTCCGCAGCCTCCTCTGCTCCTGTAGAAACCTGGAGTTAAAAGAATGCTGCGTGTCCATGAGGTCAAGCCAGTGACTCAATTGTTAGCAACAAATTGTGAATGGCATTCATGAGAGAGCTTTCAAATTGGTTAGAAACCTCTGAGAAGGTTTTGTAATTCTTTCAATCACCCTGGCTTTCCAACAGATGCGTAACCGTTACATAATGTTAGCTAAATATATAAGCAGCGTTAGCCGCTGTTGGTGCGATAGGTGTGTGTCCATTGGGCACCAAGTGGCGTGCTTTCAAGGCATCCCAGAAGTGTTGTGTCCTTCCTCCAAGTTCATATTGAGCCGAACAGAAAAATAAATACACTGGAGCAATCTAAGCATACGGAAAGCTTTCAAATTATTATTATTATTATTATTATTATATTTTTTGTATACTTGTATGCTTTCACTGAAGTGCCAGAATCAATCCATGTTCTGTCATGGTCCTGCTTGACCTCAGTGCAGCTTTTGACACTGTAGACCACAACGTTCTACTAAACAGGTTAAAGGCCCTGGCTGGGATTTCAGGTTCTGCTGTAGACTGGCTCTCTTCCTATCTCACAAACAGAACATTCACAGTGAAGTCAGAAACCTTCTCTTATATACTGCCTCTCTAACATGCGGGGTTCCACAAGGTTCAGTTCTAGGGCCTCTACTTTTCGCATTCTATATTCTTCCCCTAGCTGGCATCATTCAGTCTTTCCCAGACATCTCCTACCACATCTACGCTGATGATATTCAGCTCTATATGTCCTTTATGCCACACCAGTTGGACAGGCTGGCCACACTTGTACTCTGCCTGACCCAGATCAGTAACTGGCTGTCCAGCAACTTTCTTGTCCTCAATGCTAACAAGACAGAGACCCTGATCTCTGCACCCCCGGAACTTCAGCCAAAAATCGAGCAAGAAATTGTGTCTTTTTGCCCATCAGCCAAGGCCAACATTAGAAACCTAGGAGTTATTTTTGATCCAGCTTTAAGTTTAGACTCACACATCAAAACCATCTCCCGCTCTTGTTTCTTTCAACTGAGAAACATTTCAAAAGTCCGTAAACTGGTTTCTACTGCAGATCTGCAAAAAATCATCCATGCCTTTGTGTCATCACGCTTAGACTACTGTAACGCTCTTTTTACTGGTCTCAGCAAAACCTCCCTCTCACGCCTTCAAGCCATCCAAAATGCAGCAGCCAGACTCCTAACCAAATCCAGCAGACGAGCTTACATCACTCCAGTTTTACAGTCCTTCCATTGGCTCCCGGTAGAATATAGAATACAGTTTAAAGTTTTAGTGCTGACCTATAGAGCTCTTGACAACCAGGCTCCAAGCTACCTATCCGAGCTTTTATCCCCACACACCACCTCTCGGAACCTTAGATCCACATCTGAAAACCTCCTGGCTGTTCCTCGAACCAGACTGAAAACCAAAGGGGACAGGGCCTTTCAGACTATTGCCCCCAGACTTTGGAACAGTCTACCTTCAAATCTCCGTCTCTCTAACACTGCAGAGGTCTTTAAAAATCATCTAAAAACTCACCTTTTCATCCAGGCGTTCCCTCCCTAAATGTTTCAAAAAGATGGCTTTGTTCGGGTTCACACCTTCACTTTGTTTATACTCATGATTTTATTTTCTACTTTATCACTGCTACTGTTTTTTCTGATCTTTGTATTGGTTAGAGGTATTTGCCCTGATCTTTATCATGTTGTACAGCGCTTTGTGATTTATATCTGTGAAAGGCGCTATATAAATAAACTTTTACTTACTTACTAAGGCAGTTTCAGGGTTAGTTTATGGAAAGCGTCCTTCTGATGATGTGGGCATTTCCGAGAAGAACAATCTTCTGGATTTCTTGGACTGTTGGGCTTCCAGGAATCTGTTTTGTTCTCTTTTGCAGTCCCTTCTTGATGAGGCCAAGTGCACCCACTACGACGGGTATTGTTGTTGTCTTCATCCCCCACATTCTTGTGACTTCTATTTCCAGGTCCTTGTACTTTGATAGCTTTTAAAGCTCCTTGGTGGTGACATTTTTTCAGATGGGATGGTCATGTCAATCATGAGGCAGGTCTTCTCTTCTTTGTTGTTGATGATTTTGTCTGGTCTGTTGGCCATGATTTCTCTGTCTGTGTTGATTGGCATGTCCCACAACACTGCGATGTTGTTGTTTTCAGTCACTGTTGGTGGTCGGTGTTCATACCACTTATCTGCAGCTGGTAGATGGAAATGTTTGCAGATCTTCCAGTGGACATAGCTTGCTGCCCTGTCATGTCAGTGGATGTACTCAGTTCTTGCTAGAGTGGGGCAGCCTGAGAGAATGTGGTCAATGGTTTCTTCATATTGGCTGCACATTCTACACATGGGGTCTGTTCCATCTTTCATGATCTTGTGATGGTATGATCTCGTTGACAGGCTCTGGTCTTGTGCTGCTATCAACAATCCTTCAGTTTCTGCCTTCAGTTCTGCACTGCGTAGCCACTGATGAGTATGATCTTGTTCTACATCAGCTTTTTTTACTCTCAAGGGGTATTGTCCATGCATTGGTTTTTCCTCCCATGTTTCTCTCATCCTCTTTTGGGCCCATTTCTTTGCCTCCCTTCTGGTCCTCTTGGCAAAGCTTGTTACTGTTTCTTTCTCTTTTCTTGCCACCTCTGCGATGTTTAGTTCCTGTGCATATCTTATAGCTTCTTTTGTAACAGAGTACAGCTTCTTTTGTAACAGAGTACAGCTTCTTTTGTAACAGAGTACAGCTTCTTGCGAGCTTCATGATGACAAACGAGGATCAGTAGGGCATCGTCTGTTGTTTCAAGGTAGGTTTTCAATGCCATTGTTGTTGTTCTGTAAGCCATCTCAAGTTGGGTAAGTCCTCTGCCTCCAATCAGTCTTGGTAGATACATTCTTTCAACATCCACTTTTGGGTGGTGCATTATTTCAGAAGTCAGCAATTTTCTGGTCTTGGTGTCTAGTTTCTTTACTTCTTTAAGTTGCCAGTTGATGATATTAAAACTGTGTGTAACCGTTGGAACAGTTAAAATGTTGATGGCTTTGATCTTATTTGCAGCATTAAGTTCGCTCTTGATAACAAGCCTGACTCTTCTGTAGTACACTTTTTTTACTTTTTCTTTCATGGTAGCATGTTGTATTCCATCTCCTTCATTGACCCCAAGATATTTGTATGTATCCTCTTGATTGAGCTCCATTATGACAGTCTCTTGGTCCAATTGTATGTTTGATGTTGATGTGAGTTTTCCATTTTTGAATGTAGCCTTTGCACATTTGTCAAGTCCAAATTGCATGCAGATGTCATCACTGAAGAACTTGACTATTTGCAGCAGTCCCTCTTGTTGGTTATCGTTTTTGGCATAGGTCTTCAGATCATCCATGTAAAAAAGGTGGTTGATCTTCTTACCTTGAACCTCATATCCATGTTCACTGTTGTTTAGCATGGTGCTGATATTATTATTATTATTATTATAAACTTTATTTATATAGCACAATTTATACAGGAAATGCAACTCAAAGTGCTTTACAAAATAAAATGACCCCACATACCAACATCCCGTCCCCATGAATGTAAAAATATTTTAACAACAGTCCCCCCCCCCCCCCCCCACCCCCACCCACTACACTAATGTTCTCACACACACACACACACACAACATAAGAAAGAAAATAAAACACTGGGCTGAGTTGAGATGAGCCAGAAAAGCTAAGTTAAGGAAACGCCATTAGGGGAGCCATCTGCCCCAACAATGGCAGATCCACAGCAGCAGCCGAGGCACCAACACAGGGCACCTAGGGGAGGGAGGGCAGAGACTATGACAAAATGTGCCTACAACTGTGTCGTAGGCGCTAGGCGAGCCTGAGCACTCTAACCCCAAGTCTGCAACACGACACCAGTTGTCTAAAGCCGGTGTACACTGTACGACTTTTTCACTCTTTTGAGCCGATTTTCCTATCGTGCAACAATCTACAAGACTGGGCAAGTTTTGTGCCGATCAGCCATCGTAAGCTCGCACAAATGTCTGGCGTGTTTGATATTTAGCTCGTCCCTCGTGAGCGTATCCCACTGTTGAAGCAGGGCTGCAACTGGCTGCGACCCTAAAATTACCAGATTCGCTCACAGCAGAAGCGCAAACATGCATCAACACGGCTCGCCAGCTATTTCCCTACTAACACATGTCGGTTGTTTTTATTTATACGCTTTTTTTTGCAAACAATGACAAGGATTATCAAAAAAGCCTGTTTATGTCAAAATGAACTGATAAAACATCGACTTTGTTTCTTTCTTACGTTCGTCTTCCTCCTCCAGCCCCCATAAATCCCTGTGTGTCCTTCTACTCCCGAAGGACAACAGACATCAACAACAACAAAAATAGACTGGCATGTTGCATAAAAACTGCTATTTTTAGCATATTTTTAGGTCCGAAGTGTTGCTACCAGACGTACAGTGTGAGCCGTCAGGCAGTGTGAGCACATGACTCGTGAGATTTGCTCTGCGAGGAAGTCGTACAGTTTGAGCTGAAGCTGAATGCTACGATTGAAAAAGTCTCACAGTTTCTGCTTAAGCTTAAGCCACGTATCCAGCACTGGCCAGGGGAGACAGGTTTCAGACCGGAGACTAGCAGGGCATGATGGTGAGACTAGTTTAAGACTATACAGGATTTTCAAAGTAAAACTCAAAATTTGCAGCTGTAACAAAAAAATGCGTGAATGCTTTCTAAAACATGTTTTTTTCATTAGGAAATAACAATATTAAATTAAAAGCTCCAAAATGTGGATTTTCCATTATATGTCCCCAAATAGTTGCATTTTATCCCAATGATGTGTCCCCAGCTAGTCAACATCCAGGACCCAGTGAGACTCTGATGCTTGTTTTTTTGTTTTGTTCACTCATTCCAGGAGGATTCTCGTCCTCGTCATTATCCCACTGGCAACTACCAGTTTCCTCTGAGTCCACACCCTGAGGAAATACTTGATCTAGGTGAGACCCAGAAATAAACATCCCAGTAAAAAAGACAACAGTCGACAAGAACGCAGACTGTTCAATAGGGGCTGTTTTTCTAAGATCTCTTGCTGAAAGTTTTAATGATCCGCTTGTCTGCTTTGATCTCATTCCATGGGCTGAAGGTGTGATGCCTGGGAACTTTGACAGTCATTTTTATGAGGATGTAAGAGATTGGGGAGCATATCGTGACACGCTGCCTTCCTCCATCCCCTCCCCTCCATTTTTGTCCAATCAAAGATCAACCTTACAAGGAAAGGATTGGAGACCACCAGCCAACCCTCAGGTCTGTAAAAGTCTAGAAAACATTACGGTGTCTGAACCAGATCGGCTCGCGGTCCTGCGCCTGCTGATGACGTCGCATTACGGCAAACCCACTCGGCTCTCACACATAAGTTCTGGAAAGACATCAGCAGTGTTGGTAATAAATTCCTGGTTGTTTTCCATATAACTGTAATTTGTTAATAAAACAAACATTACATTTGTTTTGTAAAGAATGTGAAACTACATCAAACCAACATCAGACTGCCAAAAACAGTTCTGATACGTGAAGCCATGTGTGTTTGTATTAATGTGGAGTGCATCTGTTTATTTCCTTTGTGGGTTAAGTAAACATATCCATTCATTCAAATGTTGCTTGCTGTATTTTCTATAAAGTTCTTGTGTTTTATTTAGCCCTATTTCATCAAAATCAAGAGCTTTTGACGGTCACCGTTTATCAGTTGATATCTTTGCTTTTATTTTACATTTCTTTTGGAAATTCAAACGTATTTTCTCTGAAAAGTGTTGATTTTTGAACTACAGGACCACAACCGCTAAGACTACAATCGTGAATGTGTTCAGACCAATCAAAATCTTCATTGTCAACTTGCTGACGTAACTTTTGCGAACGTGGTATTGTAACTTCCGTAAGTCTTACATTCAGCCAATCATCTACTGTGACATATTTGGCAGACACAGGACGGCGAGCCGATCTGGTACATTTAGGGATTAAGTAGTTACTGGATTTAATGGTTTCTTTGGTAAAATAGCTATGATTATCATTATAACTTGAAACTAATTGAACTTTAATACACTAATTAGTGACTTGACTATTTTGTCACCATGGTAAGTTTTTAATGTGAGCTCTCTTACTGTGTTTTAAATTATATTAATTTGTTGAGCAAAAGTTACTTTCTTCATCTGCACATTGTGAAGAAAGAAAACAGATCTAAGATGTTTTATCTAAAAGCAGCGACTGCAGAGTAGTGATGTGTCGGTCTCGAACGAGCCGGCTCTAAGAGACAGCTCTTTGAAGGGAACAACGGGAGCCGGCTCGTCATTGGAAGCCGTCCCCTCCCCCCTCCCCTCTTGCTTTGGTGAAAGCTACAGGCGATTGGTCAACATGTGTAACTGCGTGCCCAGACTGTCCACAGACAGAGCAGTAGGGGCGGGGAAGAGGGAGGATCACACTCAGACACACAGCAGAGCACATGCGGGTGGAGGGAGGCGAGCGAGAGAGAGGAGAGTGTGACGAAGACGGTGAGAAAATGAGCGCCAGCAGTCGGAAAGTGGAGATTTCTTAAAGTGTTCAGTTATTAAATCCATATAAATGATAAATATTTGATATATTGCATTTTTTTACATGAGTCAATCATTTAACATATAGTTTAGCATTATTTTGGTCATTAATGTTCCCTACGCAACAGAAAATCTGAGGAGCCGAAAGAGCCGGCTCTTTTTGGTGAGCTGAGCCAAAAGAAGCGGCTCTCTAAAAAGAGTGGGAATTCCCATCACTACTGCAGAGTCAGCTAACTCTGATGTTCCCTAATATTCTGTGTTTTTGTCAGTAAAACTCATGACCTGCTAGTTCAATTCCTTTTGCTTGTAAGACAGAATTTACGAGTTTTGCTTGAAGAATCCCGAGAAGGGACTAAATGATCCTGACAGCATCAGTTGCACCAAACTAAGATGAGTTTCCTTTGAAACCCCTTTCATAATAAGAGTCCCTGACAAATGCACATGCTTAACTTAAAATAAAATGTGTCTTTCAACATTTAAAGGTCACAATGTAAAAATGTAGATTTAAGAACAGGAACCTGTCTGAAAGCAGGGAGCAGCATGATTTTGTCCTGCAGACTATTGGTTTGGCTGTCACATATTTATGGATTTATGAACAGAAACACGTGACTAAGTAATGTCATAATTAGTGAACGCTACTACTACTAACATTAATGACAGTAATAGAATAATTACCGGATTATGATTGTTGTTATCATCATTATTATACATTTGGACAGCTCTGGTGCTTTTACCGGTAAAGCAGCAGTTTAAGCGCGGGTCGCTGATGATGTTCAACGTTTTATCTCGACACAATGAGATCCCTTACGTTTGATCCCTGAAAACACCTTCTGTTACACTGTGTGAAATCCTAGTGAGAACGGAAAATAAATAAACACAGATGATGTACGGTAGCTTCAGCGGGTGCATAATGGTAACCGGGGTGCAATTTGTTTCTTGACAGGGTATCGAGAGAATGAGGCAGTTAATGGATGTTCAGCCGCCGCAGAATGATTATGATCTCCCATTCGAGCTGCGAGGAGAGCTGGTCTAGAGGAAGAAGTCTAAAGAAAAACCTCGTGACTCAGCAGTTTGCATTAAGTACAGAAAATCACTACTGTTACGGCTTTTATTTGTCCTGAACTACAGTTCAAAGTTGAACCCGTTGAGCACAAATGACCATATCATCACGTAGTTTTCTTTCAAGTGTTTTTAACTTCTCCTGTGTGTGTGTGTGTGTGTGTCACTTCACTGTCACTGACCTGATGCATGGCCAAGTAACTGAATCAGAACAGAAAGCCAGAAATAATGTCAGAAAGATTCAAAAGAAAGATTTGCAAGCTTGAATAAGCTCATGCAGTTTGGGATGTCAAAATGATGTTATGCTGTTCTCTCCGAGCACATTTCTGTGTCACGAGCCTCTCCCCTTGTGTTCTGAAGACTCGCCTTGTCTTTCCTTGCCCTTGTTTCACCCTTTGTCTCGTTTTTGTAACCGGGTCATGGTCACCTCCACCCCCCTGCTGGCCTGCAGGTAGACATGAATCAGTCGGTTAGAGACAGAAACGGACTGACGTGTGTGGTTGGCACTGGAGCAGAAGCAACGCAGGCACACGTGCCACCCATGCAGACATCATCCTTTTGACCCGTCTGACTCTTAACATTTTCCAGAGTGTATCCAGATGAGAGCCTGATGACAGGGATCTGCCCCTCCCCAAGTCCACTACAAAGGCTTCCAGCTCTGACAGCTGGTCTCAAGGACTCCCTACAAAGGGATCATACTGAGCGGTGTTTAGCACGGTTATGTCTTCAGGAGGCAAGGCCATATTTCTACAGCCAGACTCTAATCCCTTTTTCCCTCGGATTGAAGTTCAGCTCACAACATCTGTGGGGGGAAAACCACGCTGGGAATTTCAGAGTGGGCCGTCAGAAAGATTGAGACCAGACGAGGGTTAGGCTAAGCTGCGACTGCAGCTACTGCTACAAATAAAGCTTTCTTCTCTGCTTCAAGCAAAAGCACTTCTCATGTGGGAAATTATAAAAGAATAAAAACATTTAGGAAATAAATGAAATTGATGCAAATTTTGTGAATTCCATTTTAAAGTTGGTCTAATTAGTGATGCATGGTATTTAAAAGAATTGGAATATTTAAATAGAAATAAATCAGGTGATAAAATATTCAGGGAAGAAAATGAACCAAAGCATCGGCACATCTTAGTGTGAGTGAGAGACAACCAGCCAAGAGGACTCTGATTGCTGTCAGTCATGCTGAATCAACCGCTGCCATGGTTACCAGCTGTCTCTCAGAACAGCTAACAGTCTTTTAGGCAAAGCTGCAGCTCGGCAGAGAGACGAGAAAACACTCTACGTTACCACTTCGATATTAAAACTCTCCCTACATTTATTTTGAAAGTTGGGACGATGATGAGTAGCATTTCTCACCACAGGAGTGGCCAAAAATCTGGCCTGTCTCTTTTAAACAGTATCTGTTTCATTCTAATTTGCCATTGGTGTTAATCGTGTGGCTAATTCAATATTAAAAATACAGTAGAAAGACAGTCACCCTGTTTTATTGTGACATCATTAATCACATCAGTCCCACTTAATAATTTGTGTATTCTTGTGCATTCAGAGATTTATGCACTGTGCTGTGAATCCTGTTTGCTCACTTTAAATCTCTACAACTTGCTTTTCTGTCACACTTAAAGGTCGACTTCACTGAAACCAAACATTCTTAATTATTATTTCTGATTATAATCAGTCACTATGTGTTTTTCATGCAGGCTGAACATGAAATAGTCTCCTACACCTACCTCCTGCATTAGCCTCTGATAGAAAATAGTAAAAAAAAATGCTCTGTTCAGAAAAGCCTGACAGATCTACGTCACACTGTCACCTGACAGTCTCGGACTCACCCGTCTTGGCTCATGACGGGGAAGGCTGCTGGTTTAGCGTCCAGGAAACATCAGAGAACAACTCAGCTAGTAGAAGCTAACCTTTAGCATTAGCAACTCCACAACATGGCAGAACACCTTCATGCTTGTTTTCTTTGTGAAGATAAAATATCAACGTTGTGGAGCTAAGTGGTGTAGTTGCATTGCTGTTAGCCAATCAGAGATGAGATGCTCAAACATCAGGAAATAAAACTCCAAATCCTGCCGTGTTCAGCCACTCCTCCAGCTGAGTTCTCCATCCTCAAATAGGCACACAGACCTTTGTTTGTGCCAGAGACCACTGCAAATTTATTAAAAATATGACTAAAGTTGACCTTTAATATCTCACCTGTTGCCAACAGCTGTTTAAACAACCCTACAGGATTGAAGGGCTGATGGGTTGTGTCAGTAGTCTCACAAGAGACCACAGCAAATGCATTATAAGTAAAGTTTACCTTTGTCTGTTTTAGATCAGCAAACAAAATTTAATATCAAAGACAAGTTGGCAAAAGACTAATTGCAATTTTAAAATGCATTTTTTATTAATTTAGTTTAAAAAAGCTGTTAAACCCAAGCTGAACAAGTAAATGATAACAAATAAAGTGACCCACACTTTCATAACGCCTCTCAGAGTAAGGACTCCAAAGTGCTTTACACTATAGTGTATCATTCATCCATTCACACACACACACATTCACACACTGATGGTGATGAGCTACGATGTAGCCACAGCTGCCCTGGGGCGCACTGACAGAGGCTGAGCCTTTAATCTAACAACTTGTCATGTGCCGGGGTGAGTACTCCTCTCATTTTCCCATCTTTGAGTTGTGTGTTTCAGGAGAGGGAGGCTCCAGCTGCAGCTGATTTGCTGTCAGTGGGTCTGGCTGAGGATGGAGAACGCTCCTCGACACCGGATGATCACTACAGCTTGGTAGTTTCCTGCCCTCTTGGGACTCTTGGATTTTGTGCTCTAGTGTTTCTAGGATTTTTTGTGAACCTTGGGATCTTTTCCCTGTGCTTACCCGTTACCAGGTCAAAACCTTTTTGGACTTCTGCGACTCCTCAGGATTACTCACCTGTGCCCCAAAGGATTTCCAGACGCAGCTCTCACCGTTCTCCATTCCGCCCGGCCTGCCCGCTCGCCTGCTCTCCTCTCGCTCCCTCTCCTGGACACCCCACTTGGATTCACCCCGGCACCCAACCTACCGTCCCTCGTTCCTACACTCCCCTACTCCCAGTAAGTCTATTCTCTGCACCCACCGAGTTTAGACTTACCTTCCTGGACTCACCTGTATCTGCTCTCCCCTCCTCAGACGCTGCACTCCCGTTCTCGATCTCCACTGGGCTTTTCCAGTGCACCTTCAGTTCCCATTTTAAAATAAAGATTTTTTTTTTTTACCATAAGATCTGTGAGTGTGTGATTCTGCATGTCTTGGGTTAAACGCATTCCTCAAACCATGTCACTACTGGCTGCATCACTCCTGGAGATAACAATAGCAATCTGCACTTGTAATAACTGGTAATGAGTCTCACACCTGTAGAGGAATTTGCCCCACCCTTCTTTTCCAGGGTTTTCCAGCACAGATGGCATTTTAAGGGTTAAAGGTCAGATATTTCCCTCCAGGTTTGTTTGGTAACGACCAGAAAAAGAAAACTTGCAGAGTTTAATCAAACACAGCAAATCATCCAACAAATCAGCAAAACAGTCCCAGACCATCACACTACCTCCGCCATGTTGGACTGTTGGTGTGATGCTCTGTTTCTGAAGGGCAGAGCTAGTTTGACAGCAGATGTGACGGGACACACCGTCCAGGATGTTCATGTCTCATCGGTCCACTGAAAATTGCCTCAAAAGCCCTGGGCATCATCAGTGTTGCCCTTGGATCTCTCTCTCTCTCTCTTTCTCTCTCTGTCTCTGTCTCTCTCTCTCTCTCTTTCTCTCTCACTCACTCACACACACACACACACTGCTGAACCAAGTGAGTCCTACAATGCTGTAAAGCAGATATACTTAAAAATAGGATGTTTAAGTTTTTGAGACCTTTTAGTCTACTGGTTGTTGTCATACTGGTTTCACTGGGGTGATTCATTACCTCTACAGGTCTGGCAGTAATTTGACCTGGGTGTGGCTAGTGACCCTCACCTTAGCTTTCCTAATAATGTGGATAACCAGGATTCATCCATGCTTCAGGAGTCAATTCCTTTTGCACTTTCATAGTTTAAAGGGACATTATGGAAGGTTGACAGCCAAAACATGTATAGAAATAATAAATTTCTTCTTCATACATTCTCCTGCAATGCCCTGGTCCTGTAGAATGAGCCCTGGCATTTTTACTGTGATTGCCTGTTTTTCTGTTAAATCACAGAAAAAGAGAAATGCTCGGGTCGAGCAGGCTGCTTCATGCGCGTTCACGCTCAGGCATAGCCCGTAACATTTGCTATCCGTAGCTTTAGCAGCAGAGAGAGAAGCAGTGCCACTTTGTCGCTGTTCCTAACGCCTAGTGACAAAGCTAGCTACATTTCTGAGGACCCTTAGCTACTTTCTTCTAGATATTTCCTGCAAATTAGCAACAAAATAGCCATTTTCGCTCCGAACCGTTCTTTGAACATTGTTTCAGCTGTCATCAGGAAAATAAATATTACAGATACAGACAACACCACTGGTGCTATAGCTCATCCAGTAAGACAGTGGGCTCACGTGCAGAAGACCTGGGTTTGATTCTGGAAGTAAACAATTTATTTAGAATTTATTTTTTACATTAATGGTATTTTTTTGACAGTAAGATGCCCAAATTTTTATTTGAGACTCGCCGAACGGCATTGAATTCACAGATAAAAAAGATGTGGGTTCAACTTTCATTTTGGAACAATGTTTCAAGCAAGGGAAGGGAATGATCTGAGCATGCAGGAGGACTGACCCATCTTAAACCTTTGTCGGCTGTGCTGAAGAGAAAGGTACAGAACCAAATTATTTAATTAATTAGCTGCGCATTCTCCTGTCCTCTGTCCTCCGGGCCACACACACACACACACACACACATACGAGACTGTCTCAGCTGTTATTTTCGTTAAGGAGTGTGCACGTACAGCATGCGCGCCTCGTGCACGAGCCTACTATTGAAGCTGCCATTACGCTTTTGGCCTGAGAGGGCAATCACGAGCATAAAAATTCAAAACTCTGTAAAGTCCCTTTAATGGTGTTTCCTTCTTTATTCATCATTTTAAAATGGATGTTTGCCTCTACTCGGATTATCTTTGATATCGGAATGGTTTTGCTGATCTAAAACATTTTGGTTTGGGAAAAACAACAACAACAGAGGAAATCTGTAAAGATTTTCCCAGCATTGTGGATTGGGTCCAACATTTTACAGTTACTCCTCTAGAAAATTCAGTTGACTCTTATATAAAAATATTTACCCAGAGTTTGAGATGGCATTAAATATATCAGACCTGGAAAATTCTGTTTCCTCTGTGGGATTTGAGAGCCTGAAGATGAATCTGAGTGTCTCACTGAGCTGTGTTCCTTCACTTTGGGTTGCTGTTCTCCATCATGAGCCGTCAAGGTATGTTTGTCTCATTACTGAATAATTGTTTAAGTTCCTGTCTGACTGAATGCTGTTTGTCATACCAAAGCCTGTTCATAATGCATCATTTCTGCTCAGGCATGAACGGTAATCTGCCAGGCTGAAGGCTTGACAGCTCAATGCTGCATGTCAGCTTCTATTTCTCCCTCACTCGACTCACGAAGATTTTGATACGTTGCTTTTCAGAAGGATCTCATGGAAGCTCGAAGAAGCTGCTGGAGTGAAATATTAAGTCAAAAGGGAGACAACAGGCTTTAATTACATCATGTCAAGGAGAGTTTTCTTGTCTTTTTGTGTGATTACCTGTAATCTCTTTACGACGTTTACAGGTTGTTCTACCAGCGTGGCCTTTTCTTCTGCTGTTCTTGGTAATGAGAACACTGTTTGCAGCTCATTTTGTCATGAATCAGAGAAGCACAATGTGTCTCGTGTCTTTGCCATCAGTGACACTGAATATTTATTCTTTCAGCTTTTAAATGTATTTCCTTTGTTTCTGAGCTCAAGTGAGCTGAAACGTCTAGATTTAAATGTACATCTGTAACCATACAGCAGATTATTACATGTCCAGGAACAAAGTAAAGCTCTGAAAGCTTTAATTTTAGAAATAAACAAAGTAAAATAAAGTATATAGATAAGATCAGCCTCTGTAAACAGTATTTTTACATTAATGCTTGAAAAAAATTCAAATAAAATCACTCTTCCATTGTTTGTTTGTTAGAGAACTAAATCTCTCTGTCTGGCCCTATTCATCCATCTCACACACACACACACACACACACACACACACCTAAGGTCCATTTATAATTACCCATTAAACTAACACGCATGCTTTTAGGCTGTGGTTGGAAACCCGTGGAGAAAACCCACACATGCACAAGGAGAGCACAAAAACCACAGAAACGTCCCAAATGCTGCGAGGATCAAGGCCACCCGGAAGCTTCCCGTGCCTCCTGATATCATTCCCGTATTTCGTTTGATTTATTTTGTGCATTGCAGTTTCAGGTTGTATTTGCAGACTGGCCTCATGGTGTTTAGGCGTGTCACCTGCCAGTGAACACAAATGAAATAGTGCAACTTTCCAAAGACCCGAAGATTTCAATCTTTAACTCCTTGAACCGTCACCTTGTCGTGGTGGAGGAGTTTGAGTGCCCTAATGATCCTAGGAGCTATGTTGTCTGGGGCACTTTGTGCTCCTGGTAGGGTCTCCCATGACAAATTAGTCTTAGGTGAAGGGTGAGACAAAGAACGGTTCACAGGATCTTTCATGGATGTACAATTGAAGAGTCGGAGTACCCGGCCCGGAGGGTTACCGGAGTCCCACCCTGGAGTCAGGCCTGGGTTAGGGGCCCATGGACGAGCGCCTGGTGGCCAGGCTTTTGCCCATGGGGCCCGGCCGGGCCCAGCCCGAACCGGATACATGGGCTCATCCACCTGTGGACCCACCACCCGCAGGAGGAACATGAAGGGTCCGGTGCAGTGTGGATCGGGTGGCAGACCAAGGCGGGTGCCTTGGCGGTCCGATCCCCGGACAAGAAAACTGGTTTTTGGGACATGGAACGTCACCTCGCTGGCGGGGAAGGAGCCGGAGCTTGTGGCAGAGGTTGAGCGGTACCGGCTAGATATAGTCGGACTCACCTCGACACATAGCATTGGCTCTGGAACCCAAGTCCTTGAGAGGGGTTGGACACTCTCCTTTGCTGGAGTTGCTCCGGGTGAGAGGCGGAGGGCTGGGGTTGGCTTTTTGTGAGCCCCAAGACTCTCTGCCTGTGTGTTGGGGTTTACCCCGGGGGACCAGAGGATAGCTTCCCTGGGCCTTCGGGTCTGGGAACGGGTCCTGACTGTTGTTTGTGCTTATGGGCCAAATATCAGTTCAGAGTACCCACCCTTTTTGGAGTCCCTGGGACGAGTGCTAGATAGTACTCCATCAGGGGACTCCATTGTCCTGCTGGGGGACTTCAATGCTCACGTGGGCAATGACAGCATGACCTGGAGGGGTGTGATTGGGAGGAACGGCCCGCCTGATCTGAACTCAAGTGGTGTTTCGTTGTTGGACTTCTGTGCAAGCCGCAGTTTGGCCATAACGAACACCATGTTCGAACATAAGAATGCCCATCGGCACACTTGGTACCAGGGCAGCCTAGGTCACAGGTTGATGATAGACTTTGTAGTCGTATCATCTGACCTGCGGCCGTATGTTTTGGACACCCGAGTGAAGAGAGGAGCGGAGCTGTCAGCTGATCACCACCTGGTGGTGAGTTGGATCAGATGGCAGGGGAAGATGCCGCGTAGACCTGGCAGACCCAAACGCATAGTGAGGGTCTGCTGGGAACGCCTGGCAGAAGAACCTGTTAAGACGGTCTTCAACTCCCACCTCCGGCAGAGCTTTGACCACGTCCCGAGAGCAGTGGGGGACATTGAGTCCGAGTGGGCCTTGTTCCACTCTGTGATTGTTGAGGCGGCTGTTGCTAGCTGTGGTCACAAGGTGGCCGGTGCCAGTCGTGGTGGCAACCCCTGTACCCGCTGGTGGACACCAGAGGTTCGGGGAGCCGTCAGGCTGAAGAAGGAGGCCTACAGGGCGTGGCTGGTCTGTGGGTCTCTGGAGGCTGCAGACAGGTACCGGATAGCCAAGCGGGGTGCAGCTGTGGCAGTTGCCGAGGCAAAATCTCGGGCGTGGGAGGAGTTTGGTGAGGCCATGGAGAAAGACTATCAATCGGCTCCAAAGAGGTTCTGGCAAACTGTCCGGAGCCTCAGGAGAGGAAGGCAGCAACTCGCTCACACTGTTTACAGTGGGGATGGGGAGCTGCTGACGTCAACTGGGGCTATTGTCGGACGGTGAAAGGAATACTTTGAGGAGCTCCTCAATCCCACCTATGCGCATTCCGAGGAGGATTCAGAGCCGGGAGACCTGGGGATGGACTATCCAATCTCAGGGGCAGAAGTTGCTGAGGTAGTCAAACAACTACACAGAGGCGGAGCCCCGGGGGGCGGATGAGGTTCGTCCTGGGTATCTCAAGACTATGGATGTTGTAGGGCTGTCGTGGTTGACACGTCTCTGCAACATTGCATGGTCATCGGGGGCAGTTCCTGTGGAGTGGCAGACCGGGGTGGTGGTCCCCATCTTTAAGAAGGGTGACCTGAGGGTGTGTTCCAACTATAGGGGGATCACACTCCTCAGCATCCCTGGAAAGGTCTACTCCAAGGTACTGGAGAGGAGGGTCCCATCAATAGTTGAATCTCAGATTGAGGAGGAGCAATGTGGTTTTCGTCCTGGCCGTGGAACTGTGGACCAACTCTATACCCTTGCAAGGGTGATGGAGGGGGCATGGGAGTTTGCCCAACCAATCCACATGTGCTTTGTGGATTTGGAGAAGGCTTATGACCGTGTCCCCAGGGGCACCCTGTGGGGGACGCTCCAGGAGTATGGGGTGGGTGGCTTTCTGTTAAGGGCCATCCAGTCCCTTTACCAGAGGAGCGTGAGTTTGGCCCGCATAGCCGGTAGTAAGTCGGACCTGTTCCCGGTGAGGCTTGGACTTCGCCAGGGCTGCCCTTTGTCACCGATTCTGTTCATTACCTTTATGGACAGAATTTCTAGGCGCAGCCGTGGTGTGGAGTGTGTCGAGTTTGGTGGCAGGAGAATCTCGTCTCTGCTTTATGCGGATGATGTGGTCCTCCTAGCTTCATCCAGCTCTGACCTTCAGCTCTTGCTGGGTAGGTTCGCGGCCGAGTGTGAAGCGGCCGGGATGAGGATCAGCACCTCCAAATCTGAGACCATGGTTCCCGACCGGAAAAGGGTGGCTTGCCAACTCCGGGTCGGGGGAGAAGTCCTACCTCAAGTGGAGGAGTTTAAGTATCTCGGGGTCTTGTTCAAGAGTGAGGGTAGGAGGGATCGGGAGATCGACAGGCGGATTGGTTCGGCGTCTGCAGTGATGCGGACGCTGAGCTGATCTGTCGTGGTGAAGAGGGAGCTGAGCCAGAAAGCCAGGCTCTCGATTTACCGGTCGATCTACGTCCCAATCCTCACCTATGGTCATGAGCTTTGGGTAATGACTGAAAGAACGAGATCGCGGCCGAAATGAGTTTCCTCTGTAGGGTGGCCGGGCTCAGCCTTAGAGATAGGGTGAGGAGCTCGGACATTCGGGAGGGACTCGGAGTAGAAGCGCTGCTCCTCCGGATCGAAAGGAGCCATTTGAGGTGGTTTGGGCATCTGGTCAGGATGCCTCCTGGACGCCTCCCCGGGGAGGTGTTTCGGGCATGTCCTGCTGGCAGGAGGCCCCCTGGTCGACCCAGGACACGTTGGAGAGGTTACATCTCCAATCTGGTCCGCCTTAGGGTCCTGCCGGAGGAGCTGGTGGAGGTGGCCGGGGAGAGGACGGTCTGGAGCTCCCTAGTTGGGATGCTGCCCCTGCGACCCGGACCCGGATAAGCAGAGGAAGACGACGACGACGACAACTTTGTTAGAGGAACAATTTCAGCATTTTTAACGACGACAGGCTGAGAGGAAAACGTCCCCCAGCGCTGCAAACAAAGCTTCCCCTCAGCTCGTGTGGATGAATCCGAGCTTTGTTTACTGTAACAGCGTCAGTAATGGCATTGGGTTATAATTACAACCTCTGTTCTTAACCCAACTGGAATAAAAATACAGAAAGAAGCAACTCAGAGAAATTACATCAGGTGTGTCTGACCTTTGGTTTTATTTAAGTTGTATTAAACCCTGTGTATTGCATTGAAAGCATGTTTCTAAATTATTTACATGATGCAAACCTGCAGACATTTTTTATGGGCATGTTTCCTTAAACATTTTTTCTAAGGTTTGTGTTTAATTCAAATTTATGGTGCAGCAAGGTCACATTTAATTCATAATCCCAACAGCAGCATGGATATTTGGAGGCTATTTAATAAATACCACCTTCTTCATGTAAACACCAACATTCTCCTCTTTGCAAGGCTGTTCTTCCTGTTTGGGAGTCAACATCATGGACACAGCTGAACGATGGATGTGTGGAAACAGAAGGAGTGGACATGGAAATGGGCGAGTAGGTTAAATAATAAGAACATGCAAAACAGGCAATTAAGAGGCAAAGAGAGGCTGACTCAAAGTAAAGTTTCAAAGAACAAGCAGAAGAGAGCAATGTGATGTGAAAGAGTGGATGAGAGAGAGAGAGAGAGAGAGAGAGAGAGAGAGAGAGAGAGAGAGAGAGAGAGAGAGAGAGAGAGAGAGAGAGAGAGAGAGAGAGAGAGAGAGAGAGAGAGAGAGAGAGAGAGAGAGAGAGAGAGAGAGAGAGAGAGAGAGAGAGAGAGAGAGAGAGAGAGAGAGAGAGAGAGAGAGAGAGAGAGAGAGAGAGAGAGGCTGGATGACTGAAACAGTGCTGACAGCTGCATGAGGAAGTGGCGGTGGTGAGCACATGGGTGTGGCTGGGTTAACCGTTCCCCCATCCACCATTGAAAGTAACTTACAGAGGAAGAGTACTACGATGATGAGGCTTGGGATGCATCCCAGGAAGCAAGCACCTTGCAGGATGGATCCCAAGGTAAGCATGAGGGTCTACATATCCAAACGCTCAGGGCGGTTTAGGGTGGAGCTGAGTGTGAGGAGGCTGATGGAGGATGACAGATGAATGGATGAACAGAAAAACGATGAGTGAGAGCGCTGGATGTGACAAACAGGCAGGCGGGTCAGGCCAGGGGAGGATAAGAACGCCTGTACAGCCCGAGGGAAACAGGCCTCATCCTGACATATGCTCTGAAGTGAAATGAAGATTGGTAAGACTAATCTGAGCTGTCAAAGCGCATGACGTCTACCTGTCACGCTGCTCTCTGCCTGGGGGATGAGCTGCCACCAGGATAGGTCAGAGATCAAGATCCATTTTCTGCTCGGGGTGGCTTCAAACTGGCTGCCTGGTGTGGAACTCCACCAGCCACCTCTGCTCCTGTAAAACCTCACCGTGCTGAGCAACTTTAAAAGTTTTCTTTCAAGCTACAGGCAGTCTGTTGAGGGGGAGGAAGGGGTCTGCTTTTCACTGATCCAGAGACTGCTCACTGACTCAAGATCTCCATTACGTAAAAAATATTTTGACACATCTTCCAATGCCAGTTTCTAATTGGGTGACATCTTAAAAAAATAAAACAAGAAAATGATAAAATCATATTCACAGCGCTACAAAGTTCAGCACAGATGCACGTGGGTGGATTGCACACACAATGTGTGGCCTCTTTCACTCATTCTTTTTTTTTTTGACAGATAAAAACAAGTTTTTCATATTTTAGTTTCAAAGTAAGAATCTGTTTTCTGTCACTCTGCGTGAGGAGTGTGGGTAATGATGTTATGTGCTAAAGGAGGAAGGAGAAGTGGCCATGTGGTGCTCACAACTTCCTGTTTGTTGGATGAGAACTGCACAGAGTGTTCCAGAGTCCACGCATCCATCATCCAACCAGATCATCCTGCAGCCATGTTTATGTTGTAATTAGGCTCTGACCCAACAGCTAACACTAAATCACCAAATAGGATGTTTTTTCAGTGTATCATCGTTTGCATGGATCTTCCCCCACTTTCCATTTTATCACATAATCCAGAGTTTACCTCAACATGATCACCATTATCACCATTATCAGTTACTAAGGCACGACCCTTTCAGTAATTCCCCTAAAGCTTGTTTTAGTCTCACAGGAGGTGAAAAAAATAATGTTAGAATTACAGCCGATGTCTTTTCCACTCTGAATAATTCTTTCCTTTCTTCTTTCCATCACGTGTTTCTTTCAGATTTACTTCACCTCCTTTATTTATTTCCTGTTTGTCATAAAAGGTAAGTTCAGAAAATCCCTGCTGGTGTTGGTTTTACTCACAGCAAGTTCACACACACACACACACACACACACACACACACACACACACACAAACACAAACACACACACACACACACACACACACACACACACACACACACACACACACACACACACACACACACACACACACACACACACACACACACACACACACACACACACACACACACTATTCAAGGCTTCACAATGTGGCTCAAAAGGTCGGATTTCTATAACGTCTTTTAGAGTCCTAGAACCCCCCAAGACACTTTACAACACAACAGTGACTGGTAAATGAATAAATTGGTGAACCATAGATTCCTGGCCAATCCCACACAGTTTGAGGTGTTTCTGGGTGATCACCGCTGCTAAAACTTTGCAGTTAGCTCACTTAGCCACAAAGTTCTTGGTTTGAACCCAACCACAGTCAGAAATGAAAAACGTCCTCCTAACAACTTGGTGAAAAATGAAGTAAATTAACACAGTCAGTGACATACATACACTACCGGTCAAAAGTTTTAGAACGCCCCAGTTTTTATTGGAAATGATGCAGTTTAATGTCACATTGCACTCTGAAATGAAAGCATAGTACAAATAAGCAGTTGGAGGTCAAAAATAAATCATGGAATTGATTTATAGACCAAAATGTGTTCTAAACTTTTGACTCATCAAAGTAGCCACCTTTGGCAGATTTAACAGCTGAACACACTCGAGGCGTTCTTTCTACAATAGAAGTCAAATACTGTTCAGAAAGTTCTTCCATATCTGTTGCAGAAGTTCCCATGAATGTGTGGCACTTTGCTTTCTCTCTTCTGTCCAGCTCATCCCAAACCAGCTCCATGGTAACACAAGCTGTTAACTCTCAGAAACTTGTCCTCTGGAGCAGTTGTGGCTTTGGGTCTGCCAGACCTCTTCCTGTTACAGTGTTCCCCAGTTTCGGAGTGCCTTTTGATGGCGAAGGAAACTGTATTCACTGACACCTCAACTTGCTTTACAATTTCTCTGTAGACCTACAGTGGGGCAAAAACGTATTTAGTCAGCCACCGATTGTGCAAGTTCTCCCACTTAAAATGATGACAGAGGTCAGTAATTTACATCATAGGTACACTTCAACTGTGAGAGACAGAATGTGAAAAAAAATCCATGAATTCACATGGCAGGATTTTTAAAGAATTTATTTGTAAATCAGGGTGGAAAATAAGTATTTGGTCACTTCAAACAAGGAAAATCTCTGGCTCACAGACCTGTAACGTCTTCTTTAAGAAGCTTTTCTGTCCTCCACTCGTTACCTGTATTAATGGCACCTGTTTGAACTCATTATCTGTATAAAAGACACCTGTCCACAGCCTCAAACAGTCAGACTCTAAACTCCACTATGGCCAAGACCAAAGAGCTTTCGAAGGACACCAGGAAAAGAATTGTAGACCTGCACCAGACTGGGAAGAGTGAATCTACAATAGGCAAGCAGCTTGGTGTGAAAAAAATCAACTGTGGGAGCAATTATCAGAAAATGGAAGACATACAAGACCACTGATAATCTCCCTCGATCTGGGGCTCCACTCAAGATCTCATCCCGTGGGGTCAAAATGATCATGAGAACAGTGAGCAAGAATCCCAGAACCACACGGGGGGACCTGGTGAATGACCTGCAGAGAGCTGGGACCACAGTAACAAAGGTCACCATCAGTAACACACTACAACGGCAGGGAATCAAATCCTGCAGTGCCAGACGTGTTCCGCTGCTGAAGCCAGTGCATGTCCAGGCCCGTCTGAAGTTTGCCAGAGAGCACATGGATGATCCAGCAGAGGATTGGGAGAATGTCATGTGGTCAGATGAAACCAAAGTAGAACTTTTTGGTATAAACTCAACTCGTCATGTTTGGAGGAAGAAGAATACTGAGTTGCATCCCAAGAACACCATACCTACTGTGAAGCATGGGGGTGGGAACATCATGCTTTGGGGCTGTTTTTCTGCTAAGGGGACAGGACAACTGATCCGTGTTAAGGACAGAATGAATGGGGCCATGTATCGTGAGATTCTGAGCCAAAACCTCCTTCCATCAGTGAGAGATTTGAAGATGAAACGTGGCTGGGTCTTCCAACACGACAATGATCCCAAACACACCGCCCGGGCAACAAAGGAGTGGCTCCGTAAGAAGCATTTGAAAGTCCTGGAGTGGCCTAGCCAGTCTCCAGACCTCAACCCCATAGAAAATCTGTGGAGGGAGTTGAAAGTCCGTGTTGCTCGGCGACAGCCCCAAAACATCACTGCTCTCGAGAAGATCTGCATGGAGGAATGGGCCAAAATACCAGCTACTGTGTGTGTGCAAACCTGGTAAAGACCTATAGTAATCGTTTGACCTGTTATTGCCAACAAAGGTTATGTTACAAAGTATTGAGTTGAATTTTTGTTACTGACCAAATACTTATTTTCAACCCTGATTTACAAATAAATTCTTTAAAAATTCTGCCATGTGAATTCATAGATTTCTTTTCACATTCTGTCTCTCACAGTTGAAGTGTACCTATGATGTAAATTACTGACCTCTGTCATCATTTTAAGTGGGAGAACTTGCACAATCGGTGGCTGAATAAATACTTTTTTGCCCCACTGTATATTTTTAAGTGTTATGATGGTCTGTCTCTCTCCGACTGTTAATTGCCTTTTTCTCGCCATTTTTGTAGCAACACACTATTATCTGCAGTACATGTTCAACTGATGCTCACGAGGGTATGGTACTACAGTATGTTCCAACGCTGCTTTTCTGCAGACAGAGGGGGTTGTAAGTAATCCAGAAAAGTTGGAACACCTGTGGGAATTAGTAGCACCAGCTACTTGATCAACCTCCATTGCTGCAGAACAGCTGTGTTCCCTGGAAAAGGATGAAAGTACTTCATGAAATGTACTTTATTTTTCAATTTTGAGTAACCTTACCTTTTTTAAACCTCTAGCAGTTCACCACTTAACTTTGTACCATTTCAAACTATTTATCCAACTTGAATGGCTTAAACTGCAATACATCACTGGAAAAATTGGGGCGTTCTAAAACTTTTGGCTGGTAGTGTATGTGGAAGTATTTAGGTCAGGGGTGCCCAATCCTGGTCCTGGAGGGCTGGTATCCAGCATGTTTTAGTTTTAACTCTGTTTCAACACACCTGGTTTCAATCAGCAGGTCCACTGAAGGCAGGCTTCTGCAGAGCCTGATGGGCTGCTGCACAGGTGATTCAACCACTGAATCAAGTGTGTTGGAGCAGAGAAACCACTAAACCGTGGATACCAGCCCTCCAGGAGCAGGATTAGGTGCCCGTGCTTTAGGTTATGTTTGTGAATCAGCCATTACATAATACTTAGATTAACTATAAATTTATACCTTTTGAACCTCATAATGGCCACAATTTCCAACGAGTCTTCCAGTCAGTTTGGTTAAAATTAAATCGTTCATAAAACAGTAAATCCACCTGTTTTAGAGTCATTTCAAATATTATGTGGGTTGTTAATCCCACTGCTCTCAAAATGAAGGCTAAAATCTCGATTCACAACCATAGATTTGTGCCCGTTTTAAAGCTCCCGCTAACCCTTTGGGTTGGAATTGTTAAAAAACAATGCACGAACATGGGTATTCCTAATCAGTCACTCACATTTTATAATGTGGAGCCAGGCTGTGCTCAGGGACCATTGCTGCATGCTGTAGTTTAGATTTATGTTTGCATTTGAGGAGCAGCGCTAGAACAAGCTAGTGCAAGCTAACCATTAGCTTTAGCTACTCCACCTTCTGACTTGTGTTGTTTATGGATGTTTCAGCGAAAGAGTTGCTTTAATGTTAGCCAATCAGGGGCCAGATATTTGCACTTCATGAATATTAACACACACACTCACACACACACACACACACACACACACACACACACACACACACACACACACACACACTCCTCCAACATGAGAGCTTGTTGTCCACAGAAAACCACTCCGAAGGCATTCGCTCATAGAAACCACTACAGATTTATGGAATAAAACGAGTTAATGAGACATCAAAGACCAAAGTTACATCCTGGTCCTTTTCTTAAGTGGCCCAGATGAAATTATCTAACTGTTTTCCTGTAATCCTTAAGCTGATTTGCCTTTTGGAAATAGTTGCATTCTAAATTCGATTTTGATTTCAAATGGAGGTGTGTGTATTCAAGAGATGATTAAATATTCATGAGCGTGAATTGCAATGGTTTTAGGTGAACACTGTAACGGGACTGGAAAAGCTGCAACTGTTTAAAGGCTGAGTGTCCAATCATTCAGCAGTCAGCCTCAGCCTGTGCTCCCAAGCACCGGCGCATTGACATAACTCATCTGACACAATTAAAACATGAAAATATTCAAGTGCACCATGAATCATTACACTTTCAATAGAGCCTGTCTCGTCTGAGTTACAGCTTCAGCCCAGCAAAGTTGAGGTTTTGAGGAACTTCTGCACTAACTGGAAGGTGCTGAATGAGCAAACCACACAAAGACTGCTCTGTCTCGTGTCTCGCTCAACAGTCTGGTTCTGTTGTCGCTGCAGCCCCCTCGCAGGACTGCCGCCTTGACAAGCTCAGTATGTCTGCAGGCCTCTCCCCACTTCATGGCCAGGCACTGTCGGAAATCTGGCCTCCAGAAGGATTACACAACGGCGTTGTCAGACAAACTCATAAACAACACTGTGCTTTGTCCTTGGTTGTTGTTGCTGTAGATTAAATATGCACTATTTTTCTCCTGCAGCGTCGTGGGCTGAGGATCCCTCACCGGCACCCAACACACCGTCTGCATTCACTCCAGCCAAAGTCCAAACTACAACACACAACATGCAACTAGCAACTCTCACTGGTAAAGCTCAATCAGCCCATCAATCAGTCACCATGTCAGCTTATCCATCCATCTATGTAAACAGCTGGTGATCAAAGGTCACACCTTTCAGTTTATCATATTCTCTCATTCTGTCTCTTATTGTATGGAAGGGAAAAGAGTGGAAAGCAACGTCACCAGAGATGTTGACTCATCTACAAAACCGCTCCCCACGAAGCAACGCCCAAACCAGCACATCACAGTCAGCCCAGCCAGTGGATCAGGTGGTGTGATCTACACACCAGTGCCATAAACAACGTGGTTTTTATTCCCATCCAGCTGCATTAGAGGCTAAATCCAAGAAGGAACATCTTGTTTTTGAACAGGTGGTGGAGCCACTGAGTCCGACCTGTTTGTAAACTGGTGTTTTCCTTCCAGACCAAAGCATTTCATCACAGATCAGCATTAGTAAATGTTAGTGAGTGCCTGAGATCTTGTGTTTTACAGCACTGGATCTTTTTGGTTGGAATAAACCAGAAAACTCCAAGAAAAAAGGGTTTATGGGCTTTAAAAATCTGCCAGCCTAAATTTCCTCTGAGAGTGATTTCACTGAAATATTTAGAAATTCAATTAAAAATGGAGTTGGGTGTCGGGGGTGTCTGGAGTCTCGTTTGGAGTAAAGATGTATCGACATGGCAGAGATACAGAGTCAATATGCATCCTGATATGTTCCAAAAAATTAAATTAGGCTTTGAAATAATAAACGTGGGTATTCGTGAGATTAGACTTCATGAATATTAAACTGACATAAGAAAATGTTGGTAGGCGTGCGAGCCACAGGAACTGACGCTGTTTATCATTTCTTCCACCGTCCACAGTGACATCTGCCCCCAAAACAAAAGCCATCAAAGACACATCCAGTGTCACCTGGAGTAAGTCGATTTTTACTTTGTTTTTTATTCCACAGTTCCCCTAAATGCCACGGGCATTGTGGTTTTATTGTTATCTCCTGGCTTAGTGACAGTATCACAATTCCCCGTCTTCCAAACAAAACTCAGGGCGTGATGGCAGAACAGAGCACCTCACTTCCTCTCTTGCCAACAGATTAATGTTCGATTGTAGCTTATGCAAAAGGAGATACGGTATTTGTGTCCTCGTGCTGCGCCGGCTTAGCAAAGATAAGATTTTGATCCATCATCAGCTGCGTGTCAGTGGCGCCGGTAGACACGTCGTCCCGTTTTTGACGGCAGCTTCCCCGCTGATGCTTTCTTCTAGTTTGTTCCTGTTGATGCTGATTTTGTTCAACAGTCAAACTAAAGTCACAAGTTTTCTCTTTACTTTTGACACCATACAGCTTCAGACGGGGAGGACGCTTTTACCTACGGTAAGACACCTCTCATTAATGAAAGCACGTCTAATTTAATAGATGAGGTTTTCATTTGTACGTCACTTGTGCAGATTACGAATCCCTGCGAATTGCTGGCCTGATCTTTGCTGGAGTGTTCTTCGTCTTGGGGATATTGGTTCTTACCTGTAAGCCTGACTAAAGTCTGAAAGTTTTTCCTGTGATTTATTAATATCATTCAGCCAGCTCCTAACTCAACATTTTGCTTCTTTTTGCCTGAAGGTGGTAACATCCGCAAGATGCCAAAGTGTCACAAAAAGTCATCAAAGTCAGTATTTACTCCCTCACAGAATTATACTTTGTTCTTTAAAGGTGTGGAACACTGAAAAACATTATTTAATGATTATTTATGATCATATTCAGTCACTCTGAGTTTTTCATGGAGGCTGAAAATGAAAACAGTCTCCTACACCTAGCTCCTGCACCAGCTTCTGAAAACCCTGACAGATCTATGTCACGCTGTCACTGAACATTCATGGACTCACCCATATTGACTCGTGACAGGGAAGGCTGTTATTGGTTTAGCATCCAGGAAACAGACAAGGACGTTTTGGCTGGTAGAAGCTAACCATTAGCATTAGCAACTCTAGCACATGGCAGAAGTCCTCCAGGCTTGTGTTATTTGTGGAGATAAAAGGCTTACCTTCTCAGTGGCTAGTGGAAGAGCATCCACACTGGGATTGGGAGATCGGAATTCAATTCCCAGTCGGGTCATAAAGACTTTTAAAATGGGACCTAGTGCCTCCGTGCTTGATACTCAGCTTTAAAGGGTTGGATTGGGGGTTAAACCACCAAATAGTCCCTGCGCACGGCCACAGCTGCAGCTCACCGCTCGCCACGGGGATGGGTCACATGCGGCGATGAATTTTTGTGTGTGATGCCTAACGGGACTTTAACTTTCAAACATCAACATTGCAGAGCAAACTAGACCAGTAGTAGAGTTGCTTTGCTGTTAGCCAATCAGAGGCAAGATGTCCAAATATCAGGAAATGTACAAATTCATCTACAAAACATCTTTCCCAGCTTCACTGGCTGCCAGTCAACTTCAGGGTTCATTTCAAGATCCTGGTTCTGGTCTATAGGGCCTTACATGGACAAGCACCATCTTACATTGGTGATCTTCTTAGTCCCTACACCCCCAGCAGGTCCCTGAGGTCCAGTGATCAAAGCCTACTGGTTGTGCAGCACCAGGCTAAAGGTCAAAGGTGACAGATCATCTGCTGCTGTGGCCCCCAGACTCTGGAACGCTCTCCCCCTGAGCCTGAGATCAGTGGACTCAGTGGTCTCCTTTAAAAAGCAGCTGAAGACTCACTTGTTCAAGCTGGCTTTTGTGTGACCTTCATCCCCCCCCCCCCCCCCCCTCCCCTCTGCCCTTATTCCACCTTTCCTGGGATCTACTGATTCACCTCTGCCCTCATTTTCTCCCTCCCTTTTCTCACATTTTTAATCACAATTTTTTATTTATTGTAATTTTAAACATATATTTTTATCATTTTAAAAATCTTTACATTTAAAAGTTTTATTTTTGTGAAGCGCCTCATGATTTTTATCTTGAGAGGCGCTAAAAGATTGTTTTCATTCTTCCTTTCTTGAAAATGTCCATAAATGCGTTCTCTGGTGAAAATGTCACACACGTTTAGACCGTTGTTGGTGGCTATAAATGCACTCTTTTGGTGACATGTTTGTTCTCCAGGTCGTATCGGGTGGTCCAAGGATAAAGAGGTCTGTGCTGGGCTGCATTCAGCTCCAGTAAGCCAACTAGTAGTTCTTCAGGAGCTTCACCATCGCCGGGCAGCACGTGTGGACTGAGAGGCTGCTTGGCAACTGAAACAAATCTGGATTCCTGACGAGTGGACGAGTGGAACCATCATCCACTTTGTTCAAGCTTCTCTCCTGTATTGCCAGACTACCTAAAAACACAAGTATAAAACAATACAGACACCCTTCTCTCGTGCTATTTCTCCTTCCTTTCTCACCACGAGGGAAAAACCCAGAACATTTTCTGTTCGAGAATGACTGATACCTTTCACCTCTCAGGAAGGAAATGAAACGTAATGTTGGGTCACTTCCTGCAGACTCTGAACTTTCTCATTATCAAAAAATATTCATGTTTAGTGAGAGTTTCTAAGCCTCTTAGTGGCTCTATGCTTGTGAGTAAAGCCCCAGATTAAACAGCATCCACTGGCATGGTGTCTCTGCATCCATATGGCATCTAAATGATGCAAACAACAGACTGAGAGGCACTTGGCATATTTTATAACATCTTTAATGTCAAAATAAACACCATTCAGATCAGCGTGGCTACACAAAATACAGTAGTTCTTTCTTTCTATTTTGATTTATGCAACAAAGAAAAGGGATGGTGAAGGTGCAAACAGAACCAGGCTTACTTTGAGAACCACTGACACAAACGCTGTCAGGTATTCATGAAATCCCTTTTAACATAAAATATATAACTCTGGATTATAAAAAGTGCATATGAATACAAGTATTTGACAAGGAATTCAATTTTCTAATGTTTTGCTGCTATAGAACACTAAAAATACAAATATTTTACATGACTTAAGACTTTTCTCCACTAGACGGCAGAAGGACGTCGCCCTTTAACTGAACAGGTATTTAAAAATGTTTAGCCCGAGCTCTATTTTTCTTTTCACTTAGCATGAACAATAAATTTGTAATGTTCGGTTAATAATAAACTCACCGTGGCCTGATGCAATCACACTGTGCCTGAAGTGTTCAGCTCTAGCTTTTAGCTTTTAAGTTGTGTATTCATGGTCGCTGCAGATCAGTACTTCACAACGGTGAATTCTCATTTATTCAAGGAAAATTAAAGTTTTTCAGAAAACCTAAAGCTCAGGTCATAATGAGTTAACAATACAACACAAATATATGTTTCATGCCTTTAAAACAGATGTCACGGTTTGACTTGAATAACAGCGTCCAACAAAAGCTCAGCTACATGTGTTGCACTTAGATTTAATGAGTAGTGTCACAACAGAGGCTTTCCAGGAGGAAGTAACAGCGTGGTGTGGATGAGAGGATTGATAAAGGCCTGACGCTGCTGCGCTTACACAACTACACCAACAATAGTGAGAATAAGTAGAAATGAATTAGAAAAATGGAAAAAATGAATGAAATGTTTCCAGCTGCAGGTTATGTTGTATTATTGTTGAAATGCTAAAGCGTGCATGAGAGGGCTAAAGGTGGAGACATGAATGCTGCAGGGACACCTCCCTTAGCCTGATACCTGGACGCCGGTGTGAGTTTGCTCTTAAAAGTGGCTGCATCGCAGCCAAACTCTCCCCCGTTAGCCAGATTTGGTGGATAAGCAAAACGAGATCTTGTTTTGACAAATCTGGCGTTTAACTTGACATTTCTAAAAGCTGTCAGTAGTTTAAACGCCTGGGTCTTGTTCCAGGATGAAAGGCTTTACGGCACACAGAAGGATTGATGTATTTGGAATGAAATTAGCGCCCTCCCTCACAATGAAAAAGACACTGCTAGTATTTCCCCAATTATTCCACAGCCTTTTACTTTTTTCCTCCGCTCCGTCAGACCACGCTTCCCGCTACTCGTGTAGAAAGCATTCATCTAACACTCCACAGCATTCAGAGAGCTATTTACAATATGCAAAACTAAACAGAGAGCTTTTCAAACTGAAAGAGATAGAGAAGTGAAAACATCATTCATCATGATTAATATGCAGCTTTGCTGAAAGTGTGTGTTTCCACTTGCTTCTATTTTACAGCTTTTGAATAGAAGGAGAAAAGGTTTGGCCTTTTTCCTCCTGCACTACCTCCCATCGCTCCCATTGGGCCGGGAACAGAGGATGTCAGACAAGTGAATAGGAGAATAAGTGAGCGCTCAGCAGGCTTAGTGTGGATTAGCGTGGTTTGTCTCACTCAACGACCATTTCAGAGACAGGTCTGCTCCACATGCAGCAGAAATACACTTTTACTGCTTAGCTGGTCAGAATCATTTCCCGTAGCAGAAAAAATACCACAGCTATGCTAAATTATCTCTCAACAAAGACGCTTTAAGCCATATGCCCCGTCTTTAATTTAGATTCTTCAAATAGAATCCAATTAGAAGGGTTGAATGTGTTCCAGAAGTCTGGGCTAAACCGTGGGCCTATGGGAGTACAGAACGACTGGGACAAAGATAAAAGCGTGCAGCAGCAAAAAGAACAAAAGCTTTGCATGTGTTGTGCATGCACGAGGATGTGTGGGAGTGAGCAGGAAAATGAGCAGTGGCAAGCAGGCTGTTGTGCAAATAAGTTTAACTGTCCTGAGTCAGAGAGGAGGTATAGCCCGACGCGTCGCCCCTCCCTTGGATGTGTGTTGTAGGGCTGCGGCGCTGCCAGGAATTAGATGGCCTCCTTCACGTTCTGCTCCGTGGGCACAGAGTAAATCCTGGGAAAGAAAGAAGAGCATTAGAAACATTTTTCTAACTGCTCTAAGTTAGAAGAAGAAATACAGAATAAAATAAATTGTAAGCTGAAGACTTTGCGTTGTGATGAAGGACTGTAGAACATTAGGACATCATCTCACGGTGGGAAACTGTTGATCCAACCAGAGGCTGCTGTGTGATTAAGCCTCTTTACAACAGTGCAGCACCCCTAGACGCTACATCTCCTGCAGCCAGCCCCAGATGTTGCAGAGGATTTCACAGCTGCAGGTCGACTTGGGTGTCTTCTCTGTGATGCCTCTTCACCTGCTGCCTGAATCCGCACTCCACAACCCCGCACTCACACGTCGTGCTATTACACTCCACCTCTAGTACAAAATAAACTGATTACGCTGCTAAAACTCCAACAGCAAATCAGGGAGAAAGACAGCTGAGTGCAGCGGCTCTGCAGAACTGGTTTAGGTTGTTTTGCTGTCAGACTGATTGTTGTCAACAAGCCAAGGACATGTTTACTTGTGAGCACACAGCTACCTGCTCATGACTCAGTCTGAGGTGAGTTTTGGCGCAGGTTGAGTCCAGTCGTGTTGGGTCTTGCAGACCCACTGACAACCATTGTTCGATAGGCGGGGAGCGATACTGGTAGCTGTGGAGGACTCAAGATGCATGATACTAGTTGTTCTACATGTCCAGGCGGGCTCCAATGGGTGGCTGCTGGTGATGCTTCAACTCCCAAATGTTTTTTCTACTTCTGAGCCGATGATTTGGATTAAGTCAAGCACAACGTACAACCAGTAATGAGGCTGTTACCCATCCGACTGGTTCTGTCACACGTAGACAGACTTGACACAAAGTGAAAGCCAAATTTCTAGGCAACAACTGGCTAAAAGACTTGAAAACAAACCCGTCTTACAGAGACGACTTAAAGCTAACCTCTTATATTGATGACTTCTGTAGAGAAAAGTACAAGTTAAACTTACGCTTGCTGCCGAAGTCTCGTATTTCGTTTTATTAGCATGACGGCTGCAAAAGAAAAGAAACAAAAAAGGTCATGACTCCAGAAGAGAAGCTAATATTTACTTTGCTTTACGAGGGTGCGTTTGTGGGAAGGAAACGTCCCGACATCCCAGCACAACATGAAAGACGTACCGATTACGACTGCGACAGAAAGAGCCACCACTGCGACGGCCGCGACGACGATGATCACGGTCATCTGATCTAAATGAGCCAAACATGAAACGGCCGACAAATTAAAAGTTTGATTCTAACTAAATGAAATGATTGAAGACTACGAGATTATGAGCTTACCTGAGGATTCTTCTGTACCTGTGGCTTTGTCCGTACCAATAGCAACTGCAGTGTCTAAGAGATAAAGAGAACAGAAGTCACACTCCCAAGAATTATTTACCTTCTCACAAGATTAACCATCATTTCCTCAAACCATCTGTAACTTTGGTTAAATAAAGTCGATATTTCGACTATCTGAGTGAAGCCACTGAGCGTGTTGTAAACAACTGCAGCCATTTAAAGCAGTCAGGCCGCAGCGCTGCTCCAAAGCAGGGCTGTAATTCCATCAGATGCCCATCAAAGCGAAGATGAGGAGTGACAGAACAGCGTGTGGAGAGAATGAGAATGCCAATGTTGATTAGATGACCGACAGCATGGCGGAGATGTCAGCGTGCTCGTTGGCCTTTCAGCAGGATCCACGAGGCCCTCCAGAGAGCTAATTGATTCCATTCAGGGCTTAATGGTTAGGGGGAGGTAAACGTCAACAGGGGTCACGGCCCTCCGCACATCTCGCTGGACTGGAACACCCTGCACAGCGCTGACTTACTGACAGTAATTAGAGGCCATAACCTTCACATTCCCTGCTCCGGCCAGCGGCCATTACAGTGTTCATGCTCATGACACAGAAGAAAGCACAAGCCACGGTCCAGGCTGCTTCTGGGAGGTAATGAACTCACCTCTGTCGATGAAGTCGTCCTCATCGTCGCTTTCTGTGAAAAAAGCATCAAAACAGCATGAAACAAACTGATGGCCACCTCAAAATTTACATTTTTCACCATTTATTTATTAAACCATGTAATAAATTAGCCCTTATTGACTCAAGGTAATAAAAAAATGTGGTGACGGGATGGAGTTATGATAGTTTTGTTCAAACCTCAGACAATACCTCTCAGGCCGTGTGTGTGTGAATGTGAAATTTTATCTCAGCGGCTGTAAAACTGCCTGAGCTACAGACACTTTCATGTTTGTTGACGTCGATTAGCGGTGGCGGCCAACTTGACACAAAAAGTTAATGAGTTGTAGATGAATACCCAGTGATTATTTTCAAAGAGTTCAATCAAAATCCATCCAGAGGTCCGTGACATCATTTAACAACAGACAGACAATGATGAGCGACTGTGAAGCAAATGTGAAATCAGCCGGAAAAAGATTTTTGTCGCTGTTTTTTGTAAATGTGATCTAACAGGAAGTGTTTGCTCTAACCAGTCGCTGTTTACGTTTGAGTTTGGTTTCAAACCCGTCCGTTATCTGAACTGCTTTATGAGGGTTGTGGGGAGCTGGCGATTCCTCCCAGCAGTCAGTGGGTGAGGGGCGGAGTCTCTAAGCTCCCTAAAGCTGGGCGGACACTGTGCGACTTTTTCACTCGTAGCACTCAGCTTCAGCTCAAACTGTACGACTTCCTCACAGGGCAGATCTCACGAGTCATGTGCTCACACTGCATGACCCAGTTCTCACATGCGACCTGACTGCTCACACTGTACGTCTGGTAGCAACACGTCGGCCCTAAAATATGCTAAAAATAGCAGTTTTTACACAACACGTCAGACTTTTTTGTCTTGTCTTGCCTGTTGTCCTTCGGGAGTGCTGCAGGAGGACACACAGCGATTTATGGGGGTTGGAGGAGGAAAACGAAATAAAGAAAGTAAATCTGTGTTTTGTGATCAGTTTAATTTGACATGAACACGACAAACACGCTTTCTTGACAATCTTTGTGAGTAAAAAAACGTGTAGAAACAAAAAACAGCGTGTGTTATTAGGGAAATAGCGGGGAGCGGCGTTGATGCAGGATTGCGCACGCGCCGTGAGCGGTTCTGATACTTTTTGGGTCGCAGCTGCTCACAGCGCCGCTTCAACAGTGCGATACCCTCACGAGGGATGAGCAAAATATCAAACACGCCAGAAGTCCGTGCGACCTCACGACTGCTGATTGGCAGCTGGTCACGTGATGTTAATCGCCTCTCGTAACCCCCTGTACACTACACGACGCTCAGCGCAAAACTCGCCCCGATGTCGTGGCTTCTCGCACGACTGGAAAATCGGCTGAAAAAAGTGAAAAAGTCGCACAGTGTACGCCCGTCTTAACAGGCATGACTTTGGTCCGTGGGAGGAAGTGGAGTACCTGGAGAAAATCGAAACATGCAGAGACCTACACGCAGAAAAGCTGCTGCCTGGATTTGAACCTGCAACTGTTCTACCAACTGTGCCACAATGCAGCCAATGATTTAACATCATGTAATAAAAAAGAAAAAGAGTTGTGCCCAGGTGAGTGACAGCTGCTTAGTGCTTCTGCTGTTGTTAGAGGAGACATGCCGAGACCTTATTTCCTCGCTGGTCGAGACTAAACGCGTTCATAAAGAACTTCTTTGCACTAAATTCCTCTCATATGAAGCAGTTTGAGCAGTTTTATTCCAGCGGGCGTAGCACATTTATGGGGTGTCCTGTCAAGTACCCGGTCCAAGATAATGGGTATACTATATTGCTTACATCCTGTTTTTGTGCTTCAGATACGTTTTAACATGGACACATGTGTCCCTCGGTCTCCTCATCCCCACCTAAACCCACGTTTCCCATCACTTCTTTATACTCCTCCAGTCACGGGTGAATTAAACCTTTATATATTTAGAGTTTTTCTACGAGGTATTCTTCAAGCTGTTCCGTGTCTGCCGCTAGATATTCTCGACTCTCTTTTTAAATATTTTTTTATTTTTTGAGGGGGCAATGGTGTTGCTGTTGACAAATTTAAAAGAAGTGGCATCCTGGTCAATCACAAGCTTGCAGTCTCGGTCTGGCGACGATGACAGCAGAGCATAAATTAGGCTTAAAGCTGCTAAAAGCTGAGAAGCTCTGATATCCAGGAGGGGCTTAGGGTAGAGCTGCTGCTCCTCCAGCCTGGAGAGGTGAGAGGATGTTGTATGCTTTTTTTCCTGCTTGTGACATCACAAACGGAGACCTTATCAAATGGTTCATTTGACCTAAATCAACAGCTGGGTATTTCATGTTTGGAGTGTTTCAAAGGCCCCAGAGACCCACATGGCAGCACAAAAGGATGCAAAAGATGAGTTTTGCCCAGAAATGAATGGTACATACCATCACCTGATCCACCAAAGTCCTCTGAAGAAACTGCAAATAATAGAGAAACAGTAGAATTAATGCAGTTAGAGAGTTCAAATGGTGACATGTGAGTGGTGCTGTAGTAATACCATACACTCCAGAGCTACTTGCACATAATGTACATAAACTGGAGCTGCTTTTGATTCGCTCTACACCGGGAAAGGGTTCAGCTCTTCTTTGTTCATGTTCTTCCCTTCTATGTTATTCTAGTATTGTTTGAGCAAACAGATTTTTTCACTCAGGTTCTTTTTTCAGTGCAAGTATTAATCTTGCTGCACACAAAACAGAGAGTGCGCATGTGTCGGTAGTTGAGGAAAACAGTTTTCCACTGGATCTCTGCATAGAGACCTCCATTAGATGTTTATCAGCTGAAAGCGTTGCAGAGATGAGAACGTACCAGTGGCAGCTGGCAGCAGCAGCAGCAGACACAGGAACAGCAATCGCATCATCTTCAAATGCTGCAGGGGGGAAAATAGAAAAACAGGCTGCAGTGTTAAAAATATCAGCTTTTAATATCCAGCCACTGATGTGAATGAAATCTAGGTGTTTTGGTTCAGAGCTGGCTGTGATGGAAAACAGAACTGGTTCTATTATTGGGCCTCGCTCGGCACTCTCAGTTCCAGGATCCACCAGTGGAAAACCACAAGCTCTGAGCCAAGCCTCTGTGCCGTTGGTTTAAAATGCTCACATGCAAATCTAGACAGTAATCTGAGATATGTGACGGAAAGAAGGGTAGAACAACAATATTTATTCCCCCCCCCCCCCCCCCCCCCCCCATCATGCTCAGCAGGGAAAAAAAACTGTTGAATCAAGTTTTTCACTCTCCACTAGCAACAAGTGTCTAGGTCAACATTTTCCTTTCTTGTGCAACGTTGTGACGTTCCAGTTCAGCAATGAGAGTTTCCACCGACTAAAGAAAACACGCCGAGAACAAAGGAGAGAATTCTTATCGGACTATTTGAAAAAAGGAATCAGCCTTATTTGATTTGAGTTTAATGAGATCATTTGGTGGGTTAGAGACATTTGTGAGTGGCCTCAGTTTGGAAAAATAAAGTTTTAGACCACAAGGACTGATAAGCTAAAGGCTAGTGCAGGAACTTTAAAGACCAAGGGCTACTGATGTTATCTTTAAACAGGTTACGAATTATATTTTTACAAACCTTTACACCAAATCTTGCGTTATGTCATATTTTAATAACACACACCTGCATGTGCTGGATTTTACCATTGTTGCTTATATTTAGATGGAATAATAATCTGTTATGGAAATTAGTTGGTTATTCAACCACAATATACGGTTACATACCAGCGTGTGTGTGTGTGTGTGTGTGTGTGTGTGTGTGTGTGTGTGTGTGTGTGTGTGTGTGTGTGTGTGTAATGAAAACAACTGAACTTCCTCATGGCGAGTGTCCCATAGCATACCTCATGTCCCTTTCCTATTACAAGCACATGGATGCGAAGCACAGATGTGCTTGGCCTCCTGAACAAAGCCCCTCAGCTGCTCCAACACAATATGAGCACTGATATTTTTAAATGAGAAATCATGTGAATGACCTTTCTTCTAGTCGAGGACCAGCACGGAGCTTCCTTGTTCGGCCCGAGCCATTGAAATGGACTCAGACTCTAAAGCCAGTGGTGTGAGGACAAAGAACGTCTCTGTTAGCTTCAGGAACCTCCTCATTGTTACCCATTTACGTTGTGTTTTTGTTTCCCGTACAGTGAGGAAACAACTCAAGTGAGCCCCGGCGGCCCAAGCAGGAGGCGCCGAGTCACCTTGTGAATAGCATGAAGGTGATGCAGGAAGTCAGAATTATCTGTTGTTTTCTTATTAGGGGTCTGTTTGTCCCAAATCCTGCAACGCTCCACCATCACTACACCATACTGCTGTAGTGAATGAGGAAATAATCCATCATGTAAGGATAAATGAGCCTCGTGTGAGGCCGAGCAGACGCAGGTACAAGATTATCTTCAGTCTGAAAACAGCAGCAACCGTTTTGGTTGATTGTATTGGGAGAAAAGATGTTAATCACACAGCCGAGTCTGATTGGAGAGGGGAGTGTCGTGTGGTGGTGTGAAGTAAATCTCCAAACACAACCAACCTAAGAAGCTGCACATAAACGCCCCTCCTGTATCCAATTTGCTTTTCAGAGTCGCTTTGGGTGAAATAATAAGCTGATCCAATTTGCAAATATTTATCCACCCAGTCCACTGCTTCTACATCCAAATGACTCGTGACGCCTGTATTATTTTCCAAATTGGGTAATATATTCTTGTACGTTTGAATTTGCGCTTTCATGCCAAAACCCAATTTGCGACATATAATAACCGGCAGCATGCTCGTAAAGCAGCAGCACCAGCTGCCGTCTGGCTGCAGGGTCATGAACACATGATGAAACTGGAGCGCTTCACTGAGACAGGGACATACAGTAGACGTGTTGGTGTGTTTGGAGAGTTTTTCATCCACTTCCTCTAATGAAGGTTCCTGCTGACAGAGTTACCACTGACCCTCGCGTCAGTTCTACTAGAATCACACCTACAACACATAAATCCTGCTTAATGGGAGCAGAGCGACAGCTCAGCGTTCAGAGGGGGTTCCTGTTGAACGTTTATGAAAAACTAAAATCCTACCTGTTATGGTTAAGGTCTGAGAAATGGAGACGAGCTAACGACCAGCCAAGCAGCTCCATGACAAACGGAACTATGTAAACTTTCACAAGCTCATTCGTTTCTCTGTACGGGGTTATTCTGCTGCCAGCATCATGATGTTTCTACCAGATGTGTTACAGCAAGCTGCTGTAATCAAACACAACTATTAAATCTTGGTAAACAGCAGACTAACGCCAAGCCGACCACAGTGTGAACGTTCAGAAGATTGTTTTGAGATAGCAGTAATCCACTTTAGTCCCAGCTGTGTTTGAGTTTAAGAGCCGTGCAGGGAAAAATCCAACAGTTTCTCCAAACGGACAGTCCTCAAAAAGCTACCTGCACCAGGTAAGCTATGGACTGTCCATCTCACTTTAACATTAAACAGAAGAGAAGCTTTGCTTCCAACCCAAGCAAAGTTCACTAAATGTTCACTAAAGGTCTTTGCAGGGGATTGAGAAACGGTGTATCTGTGGTCTTCACAGGCAGCCACTGCCTGGTTAGACACTGAGCCAGAGAGGTCTGACTTTAAAGATTACTGTCACAAAAGAAAAAATGATTGCATTTATCATAAATATATGGCAAAGCTCCGATCCACTCGCTCTGAAAGGAATCAGCACTACAAAAGGCAACGGAAACAAATCATCTGTTATTCAGCTTTAACCCTCTCAGGCTCAACATAAGTTCTGATAAAAGGACGAACAGCCGAGTCCTTCAGGGGAACTTCTGAGTTACAAATGCTCATGAAACACGTGTGTGGAGTAAGCAGGTAGGTAGGTTTTAACTGTTGCACATCTGCTACGCCTGCCTGCAGAGGGTTAAAGGCAGGTGCTTCTGGTTCAGCAGAGAAACTAAATATTCTTCATGAGACAGTTCTGCAAACTCCACCGCTGCTGTTCATCTAAGAGACAGCGGTGTAAATTCGCTGTGTAGCCTTTACACTGCAGGAGTGTGACAGGAGCACCGTTTAAACATCTGATAGGTAATCTTAAACTTACCCTTCTTTAGAAAAGGCCGAGCGTAGCAGTGAGGGATCCCAACCCTGAGCCGCGAGGGTGAGTTTGTGAGAGGCCAGAGCCGTCACTGGGAAATTACTGAGAGGATATGAGCGCGTGTCTGATTGTGACGCCTGCAGAACATCCTGTGTTCGCCCGCCACCCCTGAATGTGTGTAAAAATATCCAACAGAGATGATCTACAGACTAAAAGATACTGGCATTCAGCCTGAACCGTGTTCTAAACAACAACAAACAGATTCAGGACACACAGCACTCTGGCCACTGCAGCTCAAGTTTTCTCTTTATCAGACGGAGACAAAGCTGTTCTTTATTTTGTTAACAACCTCACCAGTGGACTTGTCCTGGTCCCACTGAAGGTTTTTAAAAGCTCGTTCATCTGAAAGCAGCCACGTCAGACAGCCACTAAACACGACCACTTTAGAAAAGGGTCGTCTTTCACCAGATATCAGTGCAAAAGGAGGCATCACTGCTCCACTTTTACCAGGTGACACACCAGGTTTAGGTTTTTAAAGAGCTAAGCAGCTCTAAGAAGACGGCAGTGAGAGACACACACAGGAAGTCGTGTGTGCGGTGTTGTGTGTGACAAGTCATGGTTTTCTTTAACCGCCCATCTCTTCTGTTGAAGTTGTTCTCACATCTGAACGAAGAAAAAGTCTCACACGTCCTGCTTAGAGCCAAATTTATGATGTTTGAGGTGCAGAAAAAAACACGATGATTCAGAAACGTGATTCAACTCGTTTCAAAGAAATTAAAAATAAATGAGTATCAGGGTGTGTTAGGAGACACGATGCAAACTCAAGGATTGCTGCCATTACCTGCCACAAAAATGTCTGTTTACATACGGAAAAAATGATGCATGTAATGTTAGATCAGACGTGGAACTGACGCACTGACTCACCTCCTGCCTGTCATGAGCCTGTCGACCTTCTGCGGAGTGGGCCAAGTGCAGTACGCTAACCTGCCTTCATCTACCTGGGGACTTCACTGCCACCTCGTATGGTGCACGACGCACCCCTCAGTGTGTGCTTTTCTGTCTAAACTCTTGCAGCTGTGGGAAAACTCCATCACCTTTCTGCCTGCTGCAGAACCAAACAAGAACTTTGCATTCCTTTTTAAGAACCAAGCAAAAAAAAAAACTGCAGCAAAAATAGAATTAAGGAAATGTTTATTATACAAATAACGAGACGCAGCCAATCACAATAAAAACAACGACGTGTTGATTGATGCGTTGAGACATTTGGTGCACAGGTGTGCAAATAAGACTTCTTTGCCAGCTTTCTCCTTACGTGACGTCTTTCTTGTTCCAGTTTGTAAAGTGTTGTCAAAAGCCTCAGTTTGAAGGAAAATTGTTAATGTTCTACAGGACTGACGATCTAAGGGCCGGTCCGAGGGCCGAGGGCCAGCTGGGCAGCAAAGCTGTCGACGGTGGAAACATTTTTTTAAATGTTTGCATGAAGCGCTGGGAAAAGTTGGAGATTGTTGCTATTTTTAGACATCAGTTAAACACGTATGCTGATGGTTTCATTCAGATACCAAGTTAAGCACTGCTCTGCTGATCCAGCTGCACAGGTAGGTCTGCAGGACTCTAATAACCTTTGATTCAAAGGTCACTTTTGCACAAACACCACACTATGGTACACAGCCAGACTTGTTTTTCAGTCTGTTGGTTCTTTACAAAGCGCTGTTGCTCTTGCTCTTGCTCTTGCTCTGCCGTTTACACACAGCGGTTTGTTTTTATTTAAACTTGAGTCATTTGGCTGTGTCCCACTCCTTTAAGAAACAAACTGCTAATCTGTGCACCATGAGACAAGCCAGACAGTTTTCTTTATCACCACCTAACAAGCACAGTTAAAGAGAGACTGACTTATTGAATTTTCTACTTTTCATGCACTTCTACTTCATTCAATAGGAACTCCCAAAATAAATCCTCACAATTCACAAAGCAAACTTTTACATCGTTGCGTTTGTAGAATTACAGCTGAAGGGTGGACTTACATTCAGATGAGTTGTTACACAGAGCAGTTTCTGCACAGTGCTGGTATGTAGTTTCTCTCACTCCAAGGTGCTCACTATCATGGAAACTGCCAGTGTGCATGCTTTTTTTAAACACAGGTGTACTCAGAGAGGAGGAACCTCTCTTGATTGGCTGCTGAGCCCAGTGAAATCTGACACCACCCTCTCTTTTTGACTGTTATCTGCTAAAATTGCTGTGCACACTCCTCTGAAACTTGTGACCATGAGTGATAGTGTTCTGTTTGCTGTCAAAAAGTCACCTGCTGCTTACTGGGAAGCGTGTTTTTGTTAATCATGCTGTTGTTGGCTTATTGTGGTCACTTCCTGCTGTTTTAGTTAGGGGTGTGACCCCTTATCTTAAGCCACCTGTCTGGAAGCTTTTCAGCCCAGCCTGCTGCCAGAGAGGTTCCTTCCTACTTCCTGCTCTGACAGCAACACGTCTGTGGAGATCTTCCCCGTAGGGAGACGGTTCTCTCAGGGTTTACTCCTGGGGTGAAGCCGATAAGAAAGATGATTTGAGGATGCTGGAGAGATTCCAGCCCACGGGGATATTTCAGGCCATTTGAAGACAGACTCTGTGGAAAGTTATGAATGATTAATATTTCACCTGAAATTTGAACAACCTCCATTTGATGAAACAGAGATTGGTTCTGACCATCAACACATGGGAACGTAAACCAGCTATCTCTGCCTCTTCATGTTTTGAAAGGTGAAGCCATGGATTTGGGGCTGAACGTCCTGCCTTCCCACAAGCACACAGTCATCAAATAACTAAATTATGAAGAACAAAAGATTTGATCATGCCACAGCAGTGTGTGTGATGCAATTAACAACGGAAAATACTATCTGAGGAGTATTATTGTTTTATTTTTACCGTATTTTCCGGACTATAAGTCGCACTTTTTTTCATAGTCTGGCTGGTCCTGCGACTTATATACCAAAGTGACTTATATACCAAATTATGTAAACCGCACTGCTGCGGGCCGGCTCCGGCCCAGGAATGAGCTCCCCTGTCCCGCTGGGAGGGTTTCAAACACCGCCATCACCTGCTGCAGCCTGTGGCTGGGTGCTGCGGACCGGCTCCGGCCCAGGAATGAGCTCTCGCCGCCTGCTGGGAGGGTTTGAAACACCGCCATCCTCTGCTGGAGACCATGGTGTGCTGCTGCGCCCTGGTTTTTTATTCTGTTATTGTTACCGGTACTTGGCTTGCAATGTGAAATGTTTGGCCTCAGATTTTGTAAGAAAAATAATAAAATTTCCCTCCAAAATGCGACTTATATATGTTTTTTCTTCTTCATTATACATTTTATGGCTGGTGCGACGTATACCCCGGAAAATGCAGTATACAGAAACTGTTTTACCTGGCGAGATGAATCGAGTGGGGCTTAAAGGACATATTGTGACACATTTTTCCAACACATTTGCAGAGGGTTCTAGTATAAATTAATGCCTTGTGAGTCAATTTCTGCAGGAAGGAAGCTCCTGATTCAGATACCAAAACAAGCCACATGACAGAGTTTGGAGCCTTTTTTTCTGATATTCACACATCTCACCTCTGATTGACTAACAGCAACGTAACTCTACTACTGACTGTGTTTGCTCTGCAACGTTAATATTTTTTCTCCACAAAGTGCACAAGCCTGAATGAGTCCTGCCGTGTTGTGGAGTAGCTAATGCTAACAGTTAGCTTCTGCTACCTGGACATTTCCTGCCGGATGCTGAACCAACAACAGACTTCATTGTCTCAAGCCCATGTGGATGAATCAATGAATGCTAATTTGACATTATGACATGTTAAATTCACAAGCTTTTCTAAACTGAGTATTTTCTGTAAAAACTATATTTTAATAAAAGAAAAATCAAATAATTATTTTGATGGGCACGGCATTGGGTTTATGTTTACATCTACCAGCCAATGGTGGGCCCCAATGCAGGTTGCCAGGCAGTCTGCTTGGCACAGTGAGGCTGGCATTGAAAAAAATGGCGGACTTGGCAAGTCAAGCAGCTTCTTGACCCCAAAAGATTTCATTATCAGAAGAGGAGCAAACATAAAGGATCTAAAACCAGAGTGAGTTTAGGTGCAGCCTACAAAAAATGGACCCAAATGAAAATGTTCACGTATCAGCAGCAAACCTGATATCCCGACGGCTGGAAACCTTGTTCTATTGTTGAAACTACAACCTCCACACTAGATGTTGCTTTGATGATTGTGTTCCATGTTAAACCTTTAAATAAAAATTAATTAAAATGTAAGGCTAAACCTTAACCTTACTGTGGTGGAGGGGTTTGAGTGTCCCAATAATCTTAGAAGCTATGTTGTCTGAGGCTTTAGGCCTCTGGTGGGGTCACCTGTAGGGGAGGGATCAGACAAAGTGCAGCCCAAAGACCCCTTATGATTAAAGTGATTAATGGAAACATGCGGGTTGCCGGGGCCCCCATCTGAAGCCAGGCCTGGAGTTGGGGCACACTGGTGAGCATCTGGTGCTCAAGCATTTATGGAGCACAGCCCAAAGAGGAGACATGGGATCCCCTTTCCCATGAGCTCACCACTCATGGGAGGGGCTAAAGGGGTCAGGTGCCTTTTGTGTCTGGTGGTAGCCAAAGACATGAACCATGGCAGTCTGATCCTTGGCTACAAGAGATAGCTCTTGGTACTTGGAATGTCACCTCCCTGGTGGAGAAAGAGCTGGAGTTGGTGTTGAGAGGTTCTGGCAAGATATAGTCAGACACCTCAATGCATGGCTCTGGCTCCAGAACCATTTTGCTCGAGATGGGTTAGTCCTTCTACCACTCTGGAGTTCTTCCCACTGTGAGGCGCCAAGCAACGGTGGGCACACTTGTTGCCCCCCAGCTTGGTGCCAGTACGTTGGGGTTTACCCCAGCGAACCAGAGGGTAGCCTCTTTCTACTTATGTGTGTATCTCAATGTCTGAAATGTCACCCAACAATGAGCTGCTGACTAGAAAATAATCCAAACGTGAATGAGAGTGATGGATGTTTGAGAAAAAAATATGCTCTCTACAATTAGGATGAAGAGATCGCCATGCATCACATGTACTGTTTAACTATGTTAGTGGATTGCCAATTGCACTGAGTAACAGCTATACTGAGCCTGTCTGTTAAAGTGTCCATCCAAAAGTTAAAATCGCCTCCAAGTATAAGTGGACAGTCCAAGTGTTCGGAGAGTACAGAGAAAAAAATATGAAAGAATGAAGGGTCATCAATATTTGAACAGTATATGCTGACGATCCATAAGCTTTGGTTCTGTATACATATTAGTATTATAAATCTACCCTCTGGATCTGAAACTGTGTCCTGTAATATCTCGAAATGGCCTGATTTCGAGACCCACAAGTCCAATCCACAGCCAAGTCAACTTATCCTGGCTATGACACAACCTACAATATTTTCCCTCATAGGAGACTGAAAGTCTGATGCCCGGACAGATAATAAAAGATCAAAAATAACGTTCTCTCCTCCAAGGTCCTTTTCAGAGGAACTCATGAAATAAACTCCTCGATTCACAGAAGATCAGAAGAAAAGAAGATTTTTATAATTAAAGATAATCATTAAATAAAGATTTGTTTATTGCTACTTATAATAATTGCAAACAATGAAATGTTCATTCATCTGTGCTTAATGACATATGCTTAGCATGTTTACTGGACAAAAGTCATCGCCATTTGCACTCACACAAAGACAAAGTTAAGTTAAGTTAACGCATGACACATAGTTAACCCTTTGTCCAGATTCAGAGTCTCCAGATCAAAGAGGGTGTGTCTCTGAGATGCTTGGTAACATCCTCAAACTTGTTAGCTTTTGGTTGGCCATTTATCCATAACATCAATATATTAAAACTAGATTACTCTGGTCTTCCCTTCAGTTCGAGAGCAAGCTTCAGACCGGCCATCTGAGCAAAACCTCTTTAACCAGCAAAGATTTTGACACGTCGACAAAACCTTTTTAACCTTTATTGCACCTGCGAAGCTGATAATAACAAGATAGTTTCCTGCAGAATAAAGCTGATATTGCAAAACTCCTTCAGAGTTATTTTTAAGATGCAACCAGTTTCATCAGTCGTTGTGACCCGGAGACATCTCAGGACCGACCTGGTCACACTAAGGTTTCTCTACCCATCTCGTGCTTGGGGTCATCACTCCTCCTGACATCTCGGATCCAGACGTGGGTCTCCAGAACGAGTGAGGTAGACACTTCAGACAGATTGCTTGATGCTTTTAATAAGAAACAACTTAGCTTATTTGCAAACCAAATTCTTTTAAATCCAGAACTCAGCTCTCTGAGATACAGAGATTCTGATTACATTATATTCACACATAAGTTCCAGACACCATCCTTTAGTTTGCATCCACTCACAGTAAATAATAGTTTAGAAGTTTTGTCATGTCTTAACTGTTTGTAAAATAAATTCTTAATTTTTATAAACCTGACTGTTTCTTGAATCATACGAGTTGTGTACGACCCCTTAATGAATAAAAGAATCCTAGAATCTTCTGACTAAAACAAATAAAGACCAGGCAAGGTGATATTCTATATTGAAATAGAGCATTACAGCTTATTGGTCTCAAGTGGTGTTAATAATAATAAATAGCTCTTTAAGCAATTTACATAACCCAACATACTATTTATTAACATTACAGCCCAACACTGTGAAATTGATGTTTTTGTGTATTAAAATAACTACACCTCTTTGCCTAGAGTTATAGCAGGCAGAGAGCATGCTGGGAAACTCAGGTGTTTTAAGTTAATCTGCAGATGTGGCAGATCTATGGGTCTCTTGCAATAATATTACGCCTGCTTGCACTATTTTTAACTGATCAAAAGTCTTTAATCTCTTCTCTCTGGAGCCAGCTCCATGTACGTTCCATGAGACACACCTTATTGCACCCATAGATGTGTGGGTGAGTAGCTCAAATATGACGCCTTCATGTGTATGAGAGA